AATGGGGTAACTGAGGCGCATGAGGTCCGCACCCTGGCCCGCTGCCCATGCACCTGAATAGGAGTTGATGCAGCCCCCTGGCCTGCAGGTCTGGTTTTCTGTCCATCCCCACCCCACCCCACCCGAGAAAAGGGCTCACTTCCGGGCTGCCCACCTCTTCCCATCTGCAGCACACGCTCCTGCCATGTGGCTGCACCTGTTTTCCCCACTCAGCCAGCCGCAAGGTAGGCCGCCCTCCGAGGTAAGTAAAACAGTAAACTCACTTGGGCTTGAAAGAAAATAAATGCACCAGACACATCACAGTTGCTTTGGGAGGTTGTCACGGAGTTTTATATATAATAAATGACATTATAAATTGGAATAGCACAAAGACTTGTCAGTAGCAGACCAGGCATCTTGCAAATGGTACATGTTGAAAGTCTTTAACTTTACAACCATAGGTTAGAGAAAGGGATGCGATTTATTGGACCCGTTTCACATTTTTCCTATGAATCATTAAATATTTAAGCACCATAAAATTCAAGCATTTCACGTGGACGAGGCAGCCAGCCTGGGTGGTTTAAAATGCATTCTGCAGAGTCTCTGGCAGACAATAACAGTGACAGTAGCAGAGGACTGCTTTTTAATGTCAATTGTTTTGTTCCCTGCAGAACTTCCTGATAGGTCCCTGCAGGAAATTGTGATTTTTGTGTGTGTATGTGTGGTATAGTAACTTGGAGAATTGAAATAAAACAGCATTCCCAGACGTTAAGGATTAGCCAGGTTTAAATAATTCTAATTAGTAATTTATATACCTGTGAGAATCATAATACAGTTTTATGTTAAAAAAATATTTTTTATAGTAAATGGTTTGTTTTAAATCGAACATGTGACCGTAATCAATGTACAATGGCTATGTATTAGGTATATAATCAAACTTAATTTCCATCGCCAGCGTAGTTGTCATATCCCATTCTATAAATGAGAAAAATGGGGCTCAGGGGACTGTTGTAACTCACCCAAGGTAGCAGCACAAATGGCAGAGCAGATTCGAACGCAGGTTCGACCATCTCCGAAGTCCCCATTTTCCTGCTATTCTTGCAGCCATACCAGATGAAAGTAACAATGGTCAAATCAGTCTGGTGAGCTAATAGAACCACAAATCTAATTTACTTTCCTGGAACACGTGGAATCATTTGCGTTATCATCATCTACAAGAGGCTCAACGTCAAATCTTTGCTAAAATCCAGTTTCCGTGCACCATTCCATGGACTGTTTTTCAAAGCACCAAGAACGTGTCAGATTCGTCAGAGGTGACCTTGTACCCGGAAGCTCCTCACATCACAGGGGAATAGAGATTCCAGCCCGAGTTAAGGCTGTTACATTTCAATGAAGAGTCTTCTCTCAGCGGATCTTTCCAATCTTATTTCTAAAAATTCAGTTTTTTGAAAAGTCGCTATTCTTCAGGAGGGATTGATGGTTAAAATCATTTCAAAATACTTGACTACGACAACATGTGCACACCCACCAACTCTTCTTACAATTATTCACAGGAAGCCAAATGGATAGAATTGTACATATGAAACCTATATAATTTGATTAACCAATGTCACCCCAACCGATTCAATTTTTAAAAATTAAAAAATAAATTTCCCTGTCCATTGCGGGGGGGAAAAAAGAACCTTTTATGCAGAACAAAACACCTCATGCCTAATGACGCTTGTTGAGTTGTCATTGAAAAAAGGGTTATGTCAATAAGGCTCAGCTCTGTGAAGGCACTGGGCCCGCAGAGGAGAGGCAGGCTGGCCCTGCCCTCAGGGGGCTTACATTGTAGCAAGAGAATGAAGGAAGCTGATGAGACAGTACAGGAATCATGGGGGAACAGGAAAGAGTGGACAGGTCCTAGTCTCCCTCAACTCATTCAGTCTTTAAGGATAAGGAATTGTCTGGCAGGTCAGCTTGGGGGTGGGTGGAGGGGGGCATCATTGGTAGGAAGAGCAGGAACACAGTCAGAGCTCGGAACCCATCTCTCTAATAAGCACAGAGGGAAGCCACAGAAAGTCCCTGCAGGCCCCTTCACCCCGTGGGAAGTCACTGGACTCCATAGCACTAGGATCATGGAAGGATTTAAGAATAACAATCAGATATGCATCTTAGAGAAATGACAGCTGGGATTTGAAAGAGGAGGCCTTCGTGGGGAGATATCCATACCAGAGTGCAGATGGAAGGCAAGGCTATTAAGACAGGCACAATGAGGCCGGCAAGGAAGCACGCAATTCGCAGGAAGTGGAGACTGAAGTCCAGGTCTTTGGAATATGAGAGGAGAAGAAACAGGCCACCACTCGCAGCCTGGACTCCTGGACACCTGGGGGTACGGGGCTCCACTCACTGAGAGGATGAACCCAAAGGAGACCTGCTGGCCTCCAGCTCAAGACCCAGAGCAATTCTCACCGAGCAGCCTCGATTCAGTCCAGCCAACAGATCAGGAGAGGGCTTCTTGGGAAGGAGGTCTGGGTAAGGAAAATCGCGTGTGATGGAGGAGAACAGCCTGAAAGCTTTGTCCACCTTTCACAGACAAAGGATGTTTCCAAGTGTGTTGACACATGACCAGTGGCTTAACCTAACACGGTCTTCTATTCCAAGAAATAGTTTTTCCCATTGATTTGCCCTTTGAAGCAAACTGCCCTCCTTCCGTTCTGTTCTTTACCAAGTTTATTTGGCAAACTTATTAAATAATATTCTACCACTGAAGTTAAAGTGCTAAAAATATGTTTCTTATGTTTCATTGATCACCCTTACTTCTCAGAAAATGTTGTCAGACTAATTTCATAAGTGAACAAGATGAATTTTTAGAAGGCTTGAGTTTGGGTAATAAAGGATAAAGCTTTGAGACAAAATTGCTATGTACAAATAGGGTTGAAATTGGCTTAAATTTCAGGTGTTCAAAAATATGTAACATGCCATAGCATGGTTTAAGAAAGTCAATAATTGGGTCAAATGAACTGGGTACATACAGAAAATCTTAAAATGTACTTTTTTTTTTTTTTTTTTTTTTTTTTTTTTTTTTTACCAGAAAGGATTCTTAAAATAAATTGCTACCTGGGACACCCCATAACGAGAGTCATCTGAAATGTGTTCTGCATATAAGGGGCATTTCTGATCAATGTTTGACCAGGAAACTTTTCTTTTTGGTGGTCAATCCTCACCCGAAGATACTGTTTTTTCCATTGGTTTTCTTAGAGTGGGAAGGAGGGAGGGAGGGAAAGAGAGAGAAAAACATCAACTGGTTGCCTCCCACACAACCCCAACCAGGGCTTGGGATCGAACCAGCAACTGAGGTATGTGCCCCTGACTGGTAACTGAACCTGAAACTCTCTGGTCCATGGGCTGATGCTCTAACTGCTGAGCCAGACCAGCCAGGGCAGGAAACTATTTTTTATAAACAAACTTTTCATTGAACTTTTCTTCTCTCAATTATTTTTAAGTGCATTGAAACTAAGCACTAAAATGAATGTCACTCTCTCATGAGAAATGACTTTCATTTTCTCTAAATGACTTTATTGAAATGGGAAGTTTCCTGAAAATCATCTTCAAAAAGCCTTTTGATATTCAGCATGAGACCCCTGAAATCCTGGCAAAATAGAACACATATCCTTTGCTAGTCAGAAAACAACTCCTTATAAGTGGACATAACTTCCAAACTTTTATAGAAAACATGAATGCCAAGTGTCAAACTGCTGGTATAATACTGATAGAAAATATAAGGCTGTGTTTAAAATTGGGACAACAGGGTGCTCTTATGAAAACCAGTAACAGGACCATCAAATTCAAATTGGAGGTTGTCTTAGTTTCGTTCAAAGATCGTGCCGTGTCTTCCTGGTGGGGTGACCGTGACTTAAATGAATCTTCTTACCTAAGTTTAATTAAGTCAGCCCTTCATTTTCTCCCAAGTGCATAATGATAGCTCTGTCACTTCCCATATGAGATGCTATTATGTGTAGGAAACAGTGTCCACTGTGAGCTGCAAGCCAGCTCTGCAGGAGCTTCTGGAGACCCGAGCGAGATGCTTTGTACGCATGCATGCCCCCGAGGAAGCCCCATGTGGCGCGGTCCCATTAGCACGCACGCACTGAGGACAAGCTGGCCCCCGACTGGGGGAAAGCCGCCCGTGTGGAAGTTCACTGCAAGGGGAGTCAATTTTTGTGAATCACTGTCTTAATATTCATTAACAGCTTTTAGGCTCCTAATCCCTTATTGAATGTATTTTTTCCATAATTGCTACTTTTCAAAAGGGCTGCCAGAGTAGGCATTTCTATTCTCTGACATGCAGAAGAGAACATAATGTTTTACGTTCATCTGTGGTGTGTTTATGCTAATGTCTCTGGAAGACGGCAACGGTGGTCCTTTCTGGTACAGTGATTCATTCTGCTTTGAAACGAACTGTTCACACTGGCTGTGTGGATTTCTTTTTTCAAATCTCCTTGGGTCACGGTTTTGTAATTATTTAAAGTGCATGAAAAAAAACAGATTATAGAGGAAATCATTTTGAAATGTTGGAAATCTCTACTTTCCGGTTTCCTTTGTCGGCCTGCTTATTTTTTCCTATAAAATCCACCCAGAAGCCCCCTGTATTACAGAGTAATTGACTTCAAGAGTTTGAGGTGCTATTAAGCAATGAATGGAGTTTTCGGTAATGTAGTTTGTAATCTGGGCTCTATCATCTATTTGCCCTCCTGTGAATTGGCATTTTTTAAAATATAAAGCTAGCTCTTCTACCCTCTTCAATAAAATGAGGATATCTGAGTTTCACCTAGGTTGGTGGGTCCAACCATAGCCATACATGTAGCATTGGCTCAATCCGTCCGGAACAGAGTAAGGAGGTACAGTACTGTGAGGATAAGCGCAATGGGATAGACGAGCGGCTACCACCGGAGTCTGAAATGAGCACCATTGAATCTCAGGGCACAGCCTGGGCCGACGGAGCCCCCGGAAGTGTCTTTCAGCGACGGGTCGGCGAGTCGTGGGTTCTCTAGCTCACCTTCATGCAGACCTGGCACCTGCTGACTTTTTGCCGCTGGGCCTGGCTTTCTTTTAAGGTCTCTGGTGCTGGCCCCGCGGAAAACTGCAAGGGTGGTTTGACCGCCGTCAGCCAGAAGCTGTACTGGTTGGCGAAGAAGTGGCACGTCCCCAGCCGGCCTTGGCATTCAAGGAACGGAGCTGGTCTGAAATCTTCCAGGCAGCTGCCCGGCGACGCGAGGGCCTGCCCGCCTCCCTGGTCCCCAGCTCCCGTGTGCTGCCAGGGCAACAAGGGGAGTCAGGGCTCCGGGCACAGGCAGCCCCGGCCTTCAGCGGCATGCCCAGGTCTGGCCTGGCCTCGGGGTTCCCACACCATCCTGGGAAGGCCCGAGCCCAGCTGCTGGGGAAAGGAGCCGTAGGTGTGCACACAAAACCACACCACCCTCCCCGCCGCGGGACCACTTCCCTCTCCTACTCCCTACCCAAGCCGGTTAGGCCAGAAGCAACGCAATGGGGCCTCGCGTCTCCCCCGGCCTGGGAGGTGGCCTCCCCGACCTCCCATTCAGCTGCAGCCCACTGCGGAGGCCACAGAGTGGACGGACGGACGGACGGACGGGGCAGCAGGGTGAGGAGACGCGGGCGCGGGACTCACCATCAGGAAGGAGTAGCCGGTCCAGAGGCTCCGCCAGGCCCGCGGGCACGGAGGGATGGACTGGTCCTGGCTGTGCAGCGCCACGGCCTGGGCCGGGGCCTCGCACACGGCGCAGCGGCTGATGTAGGGGCGCACGCGCTCCTCCGACAGCGGCATCGCGGGCAGGGGCGCGGCGCTGGCCAGCCAGTAGGACCTGTCGTTTCTCCGGGCGTAGTGGCACACTTGGTGGATGTTGCAGTAGGCAAAGGGCAGTGTGCTGAACACCGGGAGGCAGGACCCCGCCAGACCTTGGGAGGGAAGAAGAGACGGTGTGGCGCCTGAGCAGTGCGCCCTGGCGCGCCCAGCGACCTCCCCGCGCAGGCCACGTGTGGACACGCTGCCGCTGTGCGGGGGCCCCGCCAACGTCCCCTGGTGGGAAAGGGGCGGCCTGAGCATTTCTGCCACCTCCCTGGTGCGTGGGCCAGCCCTCCTGCCCTCGCCCCCTCATCAGTCATGCGCCAGCCTCAGCCAGGGGTGGGAGGCAGAGTGGCGGGCACACCTCCGTCTTCCCGAAGCGCCTGGCCTGGTGGGGCAGCTGGGGGAGCACAAGGCCATGAAAAGCAGCCTGACAGCCCTGGAATGAGCAGTGCCGGCTGGCGGGGACTTACGGGAATGGTAACCAGAGGAAGTGATTTGAATCTAGAACCTGAGAGATGGAAAAAAAAAAAAAATGGCCAGGCTTGGAGATGGTAGGGACTATTCAGACAAGACAGTAAAGCGAGTCAGAGACTGTGAGGGAGCGCGGGGCTCAGAGAACTCCGAGCCGCTGGCTGTGGGAGGCAGGAGAGGGCGCTGTGTCTGCCCCAGGGTGTCAGGACCTCGCAGACAGAGCGTGCGGACCGGCTGTCCTGCGCAGGGGTTGGGTTTCCCCCAAGAGCTCCGCAGAGCTTGCAGTGTGCACTCCGCTGGACCAGGGTGGAGAAGTGAGGTTGCCGGTGCCGAGGCCGGGCAGGAAAGAGACCGATGGCAAAGGGAGAGAAGAGAAGCAGACTCGGTCAGGTGTGACCGGTTGCTGCCTCTCCCCAGACCCCTCTGACGGGAAAGCCATCGCCGAACCCAAGGGAGAAATGGAGAGACCTGTCAGTAGCTGCCACCTCCAGGCCTGTGCCCTGTGACCGGAACAGCCTTCTGAGAGGTCATGCCCAGTGAGAGCAGCGACAAAACCCCACCACCACCACCCACCCCTATTGGCAGCTCCTTCTGTGCCCACCACCCCAGCCTTCACTCTCTGGGAAAGACATGGTTCACCAGCCCCCAGGCGCTTGAATGCTTGGCTTGAAGTCGGTCCCACAATCTGCTATTGAAAATTGACAAGTAGCACCAAAAATAAGTCTCAAACTCAAGTATATAATATAAAAACCAATCGGATGCCCAGCCGGTGTGGCTCAGTGGACTGAGCATCGCCCCATGGACTGAGAGGTTCCAGTTTGATTCCTTATCAGGGCACATGCCCAGATTGCAGGCTCGATCCCCAGTAGGGGGCGTGCAGGAGGCAGCCGATCCATGTTTCTCGCTCACATCCATGTTTCTATGTCTCCCTTCCTCTCTCTCTAAAAAAGTCAACAAAAAATATATATTAAAAACAAAAATAATTGGAGTGGGGGGGCACCCCACCATGTAATCATCAGGGCTCTCTCAGTACACCATTTACATTTAAACAATTTCCATGGGGAAGGAGGAAGTAACCGCTGCATTTTATATGAGTTACATCTCACTTACTGACCATGTTTTTTTTAAAAACCAATAACCAGCCAGATAATAATAATGGTAGCCAGAATGAGCCTCTTGGGCACTCACAGGATCACAGGTCTAATGGAATTCAGTAAGAATTAGCATGGAGTATAAATAGAGGAAAAAAATACTGTAGAAGATGAAAAATCTTTTAAGATGTGCATGAATTTGTAAAACTAACCTAACAGTTTTAGGCAGTGGACACGGGGACCAGGTGCGTGCGACATACCCAGGTCCTGATTGTGAGCTCTCTCCTGTCCTTCCACGTACAGCAGACTGTAGCCCGTCCAGAGCCGGGGCATGCCTGCGGGGCAGGTGGGCTCTCCATCCGTCTGACTGTGCAGAACCAGGAGGAAGCCGCTGAGGTATCCAGGGCCAAACCCTTTGGGCCCAGGATCCCCAGGGGGCCCAGGAGGGCCTGGAGGAATAAAGAAAAGGCCATTTAGGGGTTCAGCTTCATAAACATTTCTGCGCCCCTCTGTCTGGGGTATTGCTAAGCACTCAGGGAACAGAGAGAGGGGTACAGCAGGCGCCCCTGCAGGAATGCCCCCCCCACACACACACACAGCCGCATTCCATACAAACAGCTCACTCAGCAAGTATTTACTCCAAACCAGGTCCAGGGGATTAGGCTCTGTTAGCACAGAGACAAACAGACAACGCTCCCTGCCTTCCTAGAGCTTACATTGCACTTGAAGAAATGACCAACAGTACGCACAGTGAGGAGGCAGCGCATGGAGTATGTTGGAAGTGCTGAGTGCTGAGAAGAAAGAACTAGAACAGGGTAATGGTGCACCCATGTGAGATCCTCCAGCCTTCTCAGCACAGACCGGCTGCCCCTCTCTCTCCCTTTCTCCTCACCAACACCTTCATCCTTCAGGCATTTATTTTTGCTTTCTTTCTCCTCAGCTCCAAGGGCCCTTCTTTTGCCTCTGTAACTAGTTTCCTGAGCCCACACAGCCCAGCTGGCTCACTTCCTCCATGGCTCACTCCTACCTCTGTGACTTTCTAAAGAAACTTTTGCTTGTATTTGAAAAAAAAAAAAAAAAGTTGGTCTTTCTCACCTCTCCCTCCTTGTCTCGTGGCTACTGCATACTGTCGGCGCCACTCTAAGGAGGACCGGGGCTTGGGAGCCACCTGTTGGACTTCGGATCTCATCTTTTATAAGGGGGCACGGGGGAAGGAAGGCCTAGTTCTAGATTCTTGTTGGCAGGTGGAAAATAATGGGTTCTACAGACTTCAAACAGGGCCTGTCCACTCTGGTACCCCTCTGGGACTGACCTACTGAAGAAGCCTCTGGTGATTTCTAATTGCCAAGAGCAAAAGGTGAAGCTTGACTTTAACCTCAGGGGAAAGGGGGCAGAGGAAGAGATAAGCCGGAAGAACTTATATGCACATATGCATAACCGATGGACACAGACAACAGTGCTGTGAAGGCCTGGGGTGGGGGGAGCAGGGAGGGGAGGTCAACAGGGGAGGACATCTGTAAAACTTTCTTTTTATTTTTTTGTAATCCTCACCTGAGGACATTTTTGCATTTATCTTCAGATAGAGCAGGAGGGAGAGAGGGAGGAAGAGAGAGAGAAACATCAATGTGAGAGAGACACATCGACTGGTACGTGCCCTTAGCGGGAACCAAACCGGGGTCTCTCTGGACCGCGGGCTGACGCTCTAACCGCTGAGCCAAAGCAGCCAGGGCTGTAAGACTTTCAACAACAAAGATAAATTTTGTTTTTTAAGTTTTTAAATTTGTTTCTGGAAGACCAGCAGTCTCTCCCCACCTGCAGTGTGCACTGGAGGTTACGAAGTGGTGGGGTGCTGTGGACTCAGGCCTGCTCCCGGGTCGGGTGTGACCCATCAGGATGGCTCAGGTTGAGGTCCTGGACTTGAACAGCGGGGTGTGGGGAACACGGGCCCGCATTTCCACGTGGCCACCACCGGCCGAGCTGAGCTGCGGCTGTCAGACTGCAGCCCTCCTCAACCCTTCTCATGGCGAACCTGGTGCTGCCAGAAACTCTCCGCTCTGGGCGGAGGAGCCTGCGAGCTGGGAGCCTGAGGTCCCTGGAGCCTAACCTGGTGCACTGCTTTTCAGATTTCTGTTCTGCAGGGTGTCCTCTCTACTCCCACGTCTTTCCCTATCCCGAGCGTCTTTCTCGGGAAAGAGCCTCGCACGCCGCATTCATGTACCGATGGCTGTGAACCCAGAAAACCAGGGGCCACGAGGATGGGCCAGCTGTCAAGGGTGAGACCCCTCGCCCGCGGCGGATCTGCAGCACGGCCCTCAAAGGTGGTCACGCAGCAGATGCCAGGCTCCCCTGCAAAGGGGGCGGAGATGGTGGAGCCTCGTGTGACCACGGACAGTGCTGTGGGAAACGGCTGCACCGGACACGGGAGTGTCAGAGCGTGGGGTGCACCCGGTTCGCTCTTGCTGAGTCCAGCCCCCTAACGCCGGGTGAGTTGGTATCTACGGCAAATGCTTCTCACAGGGTCAGTGTGGAAAGCTGCTCAAGGGCCGGATCTGGTACAGTTGTCAGATCTGCTTGTCAGAGGAAAGAGAGGAAGCGGAACTCTTTACCTGGTGCTCCACGGCAGCCGGCTTCGCCCATGTCCCCTTTGTGCCCCGGAGGCCCCGGAGGCCCTGGGGTGCCATCCTCGCCCCTTCTGCCATCCGGCCCAGGCTCTCCTTTGCACCCTGCACAGAGTCCACAAAGGCAGCGGCGAGTCAATGGGACATCCGCCTGGCCGGTAGCATTCACCACGGGCCACCTGAGCGACCCAGCTCATGTCACCCTCCCAGCTATGTACTGTTGAGGTCAAAGCATCTCCTCTTGGCACTGCGGTAGCCGAGTCTCATGTGGTCAAGGAACAAGGGGCCAGTAATGGGCAGAGCCAGGATTTGCAGCCAGGCCAGGGATGTGGTGAGAGGTTTTCACCTGTGCATCGCCGGGAGCCTCAGCCTTTGAAGCCAGGAAGGAGCAGTTGTAGGTCAGAGACGTGTGAAGAGAAAAGGACCAGACTTTCCGTGGTGGAGGCCACTAAACTGATACTTAGTGTGGCGGTGACCACGCTTGTGGGGGACAGAACAGAGCCGGAAGGATTTGTCTATGGAGATCTCAGCGACAGCACCTGGTTATGTGCCTGGTTTCCTCAGCTTGGCAATGGGAAAGGTTTGGAAGGGAAAACGGGAGGAAACCAACAACGTCATTGTAAGTGGGGGCGGGACTTCCTAGGGGCAGCTGATCCTTCACACCAACCTTGGGGTGCTGTGTGCAGCCCCTCACTCCTGCAGATGACCCAGTTGGGGCCACTTCAGACACCCAGAATGGACTCATCACCTTTTGGCAACGGGAAAGTATGGCCAGTGCATCCAGGGTGGCCAGTGGGCAGACACGGTAAGAGGGGACCCGAGGAAAGAGGGGTCCTTTGGAACAGGAGCCAAGGGGCTTCTATCGGGGAGGCGGGGCCAGGAGAAAGCATGGCGCGTGAGTGGGCAGCTGGGCCGTGGCAGCTTGGCCCTCGCTGTGAGACAGGCGTCCCAGGAAGGACCGTGCACACGTTTAAACGTAACCACATTCTGTGGCACAACTGTGGCCCCAGGGCGTTCCCACCGCCAGCAGGCGGGGTCAGTGGCACCAATAAGGAAAGAGCTCAGGAAGCCAGAGAGGGCTCTTCTGGGGTCACCTGCAGCTGGGGGAGCCCACCCAACCCCGCGTGAGAAGGAATCGAGATGCCAGGTGATCACACCTGGGCCCAGAGACTGTGGGCCTCTGTCAGAGGGTCACCGTGAGGAGAGAAGCTTGGACGTGCCCAAGGTCGTGTTAAGTGAAAGTGCACAGTTTGCCCAGTAGAGTTTTTTCTTCTCAGTGGCTTTCTTTGGTTATTTTCCAAAGTCACCGCCATGGGTGAACCCAACCACCGCTAGTTCCCCACTGATGTTGGGGTGAAGCCGTGGGGCCATCTGGGAAGCGTTCTTAAAACAGTGACCCCCCGACTCTGCCTCCCTCTGCGTGTCACTGGTCCGGACGAGCCAGGGCACACCTCCTGCTCCCTTCGTGGAGGCTGCTTCTGCTCCAGGGGCCTCCCAACTCATCTGTTTTTCATTGAAAATCAAGTCAGCAGCTATTAATGACTATGAATAGAACATTTAGTTCATTGTGTGAACAGCTTTCAAAACCTCATCTCCAAAAGCTGCCCGAGTATAAAAGACTTAAGCAGAATTTCAACATAAAAATGGAAGAGACACGTCGATCCACTTAATGCACAATGAAACCTTTGGACAAATGTAGAAAAAATATAGGAGGGAAAGGAAATTTTCATTACTTCATTGTCACTAGTTGTTTAGACTCCAAAGGGGGGGGACCTACATAACAAAACAGTGGCATTGTCATTCCAGCAATATGTGGGTGCTGCAAATAGTGATCAGTGTCAGGCTCATACCTGGTCCTGGAGGGCCTTTTACTCCGGGGAGCCCCATGGCTCCTTCTGGTCCTCTTGGGCCTGGTACCCCAGGAAGCCCAGGGATTCGGGGACAGGCATCCAAATCTGCAGGTGGCCCCGGCTCCCCTGAAATTGGAATCACGTGATAGACTCAAATGCTCACAAACAAGCTCCTTCTGTCATCTCAAGTCAGACAGGCTTCTGACACCGATCGAGAATGTTCAACAGCCCCCCAGGCTCCACGAAGGTGGGACTTGATTCACGTGGGTGCGTGAGAAACTTCCAGAAAGCACCTCGTCGCATAAATGACCGACGGAATGAACGGCTGAGTAAGAATGCGATCTCAGAGGAAGCAAAGTATGAGCTAGTGAAGGTTGGTGGAGTCAGCAATAACTGGGTGAACGTCACAGGATTTCCCATCTTTGGGCCACTTTTTCCTGGGGAGCAGCCACAGGTGGGAGAGGTACTGGGGGGATCCTAATGCTCAGCTTAGTGTCTCTCTGGCTCCTTGCAGCCAGTGAGTGCCCTTTACTCAAAGGGAGAGCATTTCCAGGCTGGTAGAGGCACGAAAGCATGACTTTTAACCTCGGGTTCACACTGGAGTTATCTGGGGCCGTTATAAATACGGATGCTGTGTCCCACCCCAGAAACGCTGGTTGAATTGGTACAGGACATGGCCTTGGCAGTGCCCACAAGCTTGGTTGTACGATAAACCCAGCTGGGGAGCTTTTCAAAGCTATTGGTACTGGGACCCCTCTAGACTTACTAAGTAGGAATTTCTGGGGGTGGGACCCAGGCATCAGTAACTTTTTCCCGATGATTCTGATGTGGGCCAGGACTGACAAGCACCACGGTGAAGCGGTAGTCCTGACATTAGCACGTCAGGATCATCTGGCCAGTTTGTCTGAGTCCAGAGCACTGAGCCAGCAGGTCTGGGTGGGCCCAACTTCTGCACGTCTACATGTTCCCGGTGCGGCTGAGGGCGCCATCTGAGATCTCCTTTGCAGAAACACTGCTCTAAAGGCTTAAAATGTTTTTCCTCTTGGTTACATTCACATCTTTAGGGCATTTTTTCTAAAGCTTCACTCAGCCCCCCTGCAAACAACCCACAAGGAAGAAGAAATAATAACCCTAAGCAATAACGATGACAACGGACATGCACTGAATACTTTAGTATGCATCAGGCCGTGTTCGGTGCTTAACAATTAAATGCTCCCAACCCGCCTGCGTGTCTGTGCTGCTGTTACTAGCGTGTCACAAGAAGGAACATCAGGCTCAGGTATATGAGCGACATATTGGAGCCAGCACATGGCAGAGTCTAGATTAGAATCCAAACCAGCGTTCTCTGCGGTCACACCACATCACCATAAGAGCTCTTGACACCTGTGTGATCAACGCTAAGAAATGCAACACATTTTAAAATACACCATTCCTAGGCTTTCTTAAACTTCATACAAACGTGCAAAGTACTGTTAGGGCAGCAATGATAAAGCAGCAAGGGCATTCTAGATGGAGCAGCAAATCATAACGTTGCAGCCCACAGTGGTTAGTGCATCTGTGAAGGTCGCTCTTGAGCCTGTAAGGACTTTGGGATTTAGCCTCTTGTGAAGCATCGTATGAACACACAGCGACACTGAGTTAGTTCATGTTGTAACTGTGCGGGGAGCTGAACGGAAACCTTAGCTCTCCCACTCTGGGCAACTTGAGAGCAATGCAAGTGGCTATTTCCCGAGTTCCCCGAGAAATCCAGTGAGCAGTGTGGTCCCGCCAGTGGGGAAGGAGTGGAGGGAGCAGGTAAGGCAAAGGGGGGCCTTGGGCTGCTACTTCCGATGCAGTATTTTGATGCTCTCTTCAAATGAGTCGATGCATACAGTCACAGAGAAGGGGACTGAAGTGAAACTCATTAAACACACAACTGTAATTTTTAAATGTCAACATTTAAAATAGCAGGATTTAAAAAAATATAGAATTATGCTCTTCTTTACTTTTTAATACACCAGAAGCTGAATGAAAGGGACCAAGGCATCTAAGTGCCCTAAAAATAACACAGGGCATCTGTATTCAGGGCGACTCTCGTTAGGGTTCATAACAAGTGCCGGGAAGGAAGAAATGCATTCATAGCTTTGCTTTTCTTCTTTGGAGAAACTCTTTTCATTCTCTTTGAAAACGCCAGACACAAAATAACGCGCTGCTTTTGCATGGTGGAGGATTAAACAGACACTCGTTTGGAAAGAATAATGGCACTTTCATTCTGACACACAAAGAAATTTGCTCCTTGAAAACAGGCTTCTGCTATCCCAGGAAAGGGTTGTGGCAGCCCCTTACTGGGTGTTAAGGACCCATCTTTCTGTGTTGTTGATGCTACGTATTTTAGGGGGGTGCCATGCACGTATGCCGTAGAGTTTAGGATAGAAACTCCCTTTGGGAGGCACTGTGGCGTCTGACAGCGAAAGGGCGCATGCTCCGTGCCTGGGTGGGAAGGATACTAGCTGAGTGTCTCCAGTGCCAGCCCGGCCCGCGGCTCAGCATCAGGACAGGCTAATATGGGGTTACTATATCTGTAACGAGGAAGCAAAGGCATTCAAACCTAACACAATTACAGGACCCCATGGACACGAATATAGCAAAGGGTGACTCACAAACGCCGTGAAAAGGGGAATATAGAAGCAACTGGAAACCAGACTTAGAGGCAGGGATTCATTGTATAGCAATGCTCACCTCTGGCACCTGGAGAGCGTCGACGGTAGAGCGAGGCCACACCGCGATTTTCATAGGGTGGGAAGAGATGCGAGATGGTGAATTAGGACAAATGTGAAATAGATTGTTTGAGAATATAAATAAAAATTTGAGGACAACACCAATGACAAGCAGCATGACGGCATCTTCATGACATAATCAGTCCACACAGTGTACCCTGGCCGGGGGGCTCTGCTGGTTGGAGCGTTGTCCTGTGCACCAAAAGGCTGCAGGTTTGATTCCCAGGCAGGGCGCATACCTAAGTTGTGGATTCGGTCCCTGGTCAGGGTGCATACGGGAGGCAACCGATCGATGTTTCCCTCTCTCTCAAATCAATACACTTTTTAAAATAAGTCCACAGAGTGTTACTGACAAGAACAGCTATGACTGAGGAATGGAGTTTTCATATCTACAAAAACCGGAAATGAAGCCCTCTTGTGCAATATCAACTTCGAGTTGATTTTTAATGGCATATAAGCCCTAATTTAATGTATATAGAAACCCTGTCCATTGGAAGGCCTGTGGAAATTCCATATTAATTTGCCGAGCCTTATAGGTTATGTAAAGAAAGGAAATATGATAGGAATCAGGGCATAAGCTCCCAGTCAGGCTGGATGAGGATCTGCCGTAAAGCGGTGCCGTTCCCTTCTTCCTTGGCCCCGAGTGCTAATGTGGCAGATTGCCCACTACTCTGAACAGACACCATGTTACCATAATGGTGGTCTAGGGTCTTGAAATATATTACTTCTGCCGATCTCAAATACAGGCGTCTGCTTGCCCTTTCCACGATCCCTTGGCTTGTTTTGACAATGAAACGTGTTGACTGTGGGGCTGAGACTAAATAAGCCTTTCAACTTCATAGGAATTAATGTACTTTACAGAAAAGGTCCAATAAAACATCTAGCAAAGTCAAAGGGAATTCGAGGATGGGAACTGCATACACAATCCTCACATCACGACAATCAAATCAGTCTTTGCCTCTTGGGCGAGGGGACACAGGTTTATTCATCTTCGAGATACTATAGGTAAAACCAACTCCTAATATTCAAGCTTACCCGTTTTAATAATAAATATTAGTTTGCCAAGCATGAGACTTTGTAGTGCAGCCTGGAGTAAATGTAACCTTTATTTGGAAAGGACTGGACTCATAAGAATGTGTGATAATTCAGAATTACCTTCTGAAAGATGACTGTCGGATTAAGTGTTCGGACCAAGTGCCCGGTGTGGGCTGTGGGGTGGAGATGATTAGGCATTAGAAGCTCACCTGCAGGCCCGGGGGGCCCTTTCCTGCCCGGAGGGCCAGGTAAACCCTTCTCTCCAGGTGACCCAGGTAGACCAGGTGGGCCCTGTGGCCCCGGGAACCCCATTGGTCCTAAAAGGATCATGAAAAAACAAGGCAGTGGAACGCAGCAATGTAAGGGCAACGAAATCCCGAACTTTCCTCTGGAGACAGTCAAAGGACTGCAAGCGATCGGGAAACTAGGAAGACGCTTCACTCTCCAGGGACAGTGGCCTCCCAGACCTGAGTCCCCACCACTCTCTCTCTCTCCGTTTCCGCCACACCAGCCATTCAGTGCCTGGCTCACGCTGTCTCCTCTCTGCTCCCCGTCCACAAAGTCCTGCTGGCTCCGCACACTGCAGATGAAGCTCACCTCCTCGGGGAAGCTCTCCCTGGAATCCCAGCCCATGTCCCGTTGCCTTGGGAGGAGCTGTCATGGAAGGGGTCCCTTTCCTCAGGGCACCCATCTTGGGCCACAGCGATGGGTCTTGGGGTGTGCAGGTCTTCCCCCATGAAACTCTACACTTAATGAGAATAGGGACTCTGTCCGATTTTGTTCACTACTATATTCCTGTTGGTGCCTTCTAAGTGTTTGTGCAAAGAGATCAACCGTTTCCCACTGTGAGAATCTAGAGGGCACACCGAGGAGGCTCCCTGGCCCTCCTCACCGTTAAGCACTCTGGCCCTTCTGCCCACTGGAGCGAGAGGCTAGAAGCAATGCTTAGATGTTCCACCAATATTTCTAACGCTCTGCATATCCTTTTGTTATTTGCACACATGCTAGTTCCCGATCCGGAGATTGTGTTAAGGCAGGGGCATTCGTTCTCCAGAGAGGAGCACCTGGGGAGGAGGTGTGTCTCTGTTGGGAGGAGCCAAGTTGGATGGCCAGCCCCTCCTCCTTCCTCTTGGTGACTAGAGTAGCAGCATGTGCGGTCCGTTCTGGGATCCAGCGGCTGGATGCCCACATACCTGCAGATCTAAGCTGCATTCTCTAGGCTGATTTTCTGACCAGTAAAGGTAAGGAGGGTTGTGGGACAGGCGGCACACTGCACAATTCCAGGGGTGCCTCCGCGCTGCGGCCGGGCAGCCTCATGCTGACTTTGGTCTCCCCTCTGCCCAGCTCTTTCGCCTTATGTCACCCTTGGTTCAGAAGTAAGGCAGGGTCTCTGGGCTCCTGCAGGCTTCCAGAGTTGCCCCTCTGGTGTCCCTCACTTATGACTTCAGGGGTTTAAAATGGATCATCATCATTGATACCTTTCCAACAAAGATGCTCTATACAGCTAGTCATTCTCTGAAATTCTGGTGACTAAAAACTCATGTCCCCAAATATTAGCAGCTAGGTAAAAAAAAAAAAAAAAAAAAATCAATGCAAGTAATTATGTTAGCCTTAAGGGAGACTCGAGCATGAACATAAAAGAGCGACGTCAGCCATCTGAAACTGAACTGTCCGACACAGAAGCCACTGACCACATGTGTCTGTCGGACACTTGAAACTGGCAAGTCCAAACTGGGTTGTGCTGTAAGAGTGAAACACACCAGACCTCAGAGGCGGGGAGGAGGAAGATCTTGTGTGGGCAAGGAGTGGTGTGGCTCAGTGGACTGACTGTCATCTGATGGACCGAGAAGTCCTGGTTCGATTCCCAGTCAGGGCGCATGCCTGAGTTGTGGGCTGGATCCCGGGTAGGGGGTGTGAAGGAGGCAGCCAATCAATGTTTCTCTCCCACATCAATGTTTCTATGTCTTTTCTCCTTCCTCTCTCTCTAAAAAAAATTCAATTAAAAAATTGTTTTTAAATAAAATAATATCCAATATATTATATTAAGTTAAAAAGTATGAAAGTTAATTCCATTTTTCTTTTTACTTTTTGAATGTGGCTTCTGCATCTTTAATTACACAGGTAGCTTGCACTATGCTTCCGTTGTTCAGTTCTGGTCTAGGAGATTGTCAAGTGTGCTTGGGCTAAAGATAAATCTGGATTTCTCTTCTTACTTTTCCAACAGTTACTAGAACTTTAGAAAGTTCTTTGGAAAGGCAGGACATTTGGGAAATGTAGCCACCCATTCAATAGAAAATAAGACTTAGGTAATGGTAGTCCAATACCGCAAACCCTCAAAGGCAAGATATCAAAAGTCCTCACGTACTGCTCAAGGAACGACTGTGCTCATACCTTTCTGGCCATCACTTCCGTTACATCCTGGGGAGCCCTGGTGTCCTGGAGGGCCTGGCGGGCCCAGGGGACCGGGAAGCCCTGGCAGACCATAGTCACCTGGGTCCCCTCGCAGAAGGTCAACCGTCCCGGGGGGCCCTGGAGGCCCAGGTGGTCCTGACCACAGAGAGGAAGCAAAAGATTCTTTCAGTCAAAGACAAATGTGTGTGCTGCCTGCCTGAGAGCCTCTTAAGGAAAGTAATTTAATGTTTTGTAAGCAAGGGATGAAGGGAATTAGAAGAATAAGAAAATCAATAGTGTCAGAAGTGAAACAGAGAGTAGGTCTCATGGAGCCTGAGAGTTGGTGTCAATAGTCTGTCAGTAGCTGTTGGACAAAATGAACCTCAGCAAAGCCTTCCCTCCCTCAGAGCCATTACTTTTGGAAGGTACTGGTTTATGATTTTTGTTTACACTGGCATCCCATACTTTAACATGAGGAAGGATGGGAGGATGGAAGGATGGGAGGATGGATGGATGGATGGATCAATGGATGGATGGATGGATGGATGGATCAATGGATGGATGGATGGAAGGATAGATGGAAGGATGGAAGGATGGATGGATGGAAGAATGGATGGGTGGAAGATGGAAGGATGGATGGATGGGTGGATGGATGGATGGATGGATGGATGGAAGATGGAAGGATGGGTGGATGGATGGATTGATGGATGGATGGATTGATGGATGGATGGAATGATGGATGAATGGAAGATGGAAGGATGGGTGGATGGATGGGTGGATGGATGGATGGATGGAACGATGGATGGATGGATAGATGGATGGATGGATGGGTGGAAGGATGGATGGATAGATAGATAATAGGCTTATGAGAAAATTTGGCTGATATGAAAGAAATGTTTATTCAATTAAACTTATAATCCTATTTCAAAACAAGTAAGTGTCTACACACAGGAATTAAGCCCAAATTTTATTCTACTAAAACTGCTGTTTTAAGCACTTTCATTTTTGCAGGAAAATAGAATTATATAATACTGCAATCCCGCCTTTACTGAAACCTTAAGCACTTAAAGATGGTGGGTTTGTGTCTCTGTCTGGGTTGGGAGGACTGTGGTTGTCTGCATTCAGCAGAACACTGCACTGAGCCATGCTGGTCCCCAGTTCCCCGCCCAGCTCTGGTCCCACCCCGTTTTGTTAAACGCTGCCTTGCTGGGGTTGACCCTGCGAAGTGACGAGAGGAACAACATGGACTGTCCGCAGCCCGTGGAGAGCCTCTGTCTCTGCGTGTGCCAGGCCTGGGCCCGTCACTCTGGGCCAGCGGCAGAGTTTATGGGGCAGGTGGAGAGACCCACGTGCAGGACGAGATCCCCGCCACTCCTGAAGCCTCACGCGCAGCCTCGGGCCCGTGGGGGGAAAGGCTGGCTCTGACCCAGACTCTGGACTCACAGAGACGTGGTCTGAGAGGGTGGAACTGGAAGAGGAGGGGCCTGGGCTCTGTCCTGGGTATGGCCCTGCCAGCCCACTGCTGCCCACACCCCCCTTGCCACCTGCCCCATAATAGGGCTGCTGAGGTGCTTCTGCGGTGCCATTCTCTGGCCCTGCCTCCTGACAGCTCCAGCATCTAAGGAAAGGGGCATCGCCAACCTTCGCCAGGAGTCCCCATACCTCTGGGACCTTCGGGGCCAGGAGGTCCTGGATCTCCGGGCGGACCCGGGACAAGAATGTCAGCCTTCGGAGTTCTTCCTGTGGCGCCCGCAGGACCAGGGGGCCCAGGTCTCCCTGAGGATGGAGGTGTTCAGATGTGAGCCTCATCACATGTGAGAGGTTTGGATGTCATTATTCAGAGAGAGAGGCAAAGCATTCTGCTCCTTACCTGGAGGACCTGGAGGGCCCTTATCTCCAAAAAGGCCTGGAGGAGAAATCCCTGGGCTCCCGGGGTCTCCTGTCTCCCCTTTCAGCCCAGGCATCCCCATTGGACCGGGTGGGCCCATTTCGGTCAAACCTTAATGTAGAAAACAGCATTAGCACTATATCTTCTTCTTGTTTGCCCCTGTCATGAGGGTGTGACCAGGACGCAGCTGGTTCTGCTGAGACCAACCTCAGCTTCAGCAGTGACCCAAATGTCTGCGTAGCGTTTCCTGGGTCCCCATTTACTCTCTTAAGACCCATCACCCTGGTCCCCCTTAGGCTTGACTTACTTTATAATTATTTTCCAGATTTAAAACAAAAAAAGACTATGACAACTTAGTGGTAATACCAACCCTCCAACCTCTGCAATGGATAGCGTGAGAACCAATGAGATCCAATAGTACACAACTGTGAATACACTGGCTTGACACGGAGGGTGGACACTGACATGGAAACAGAATTACTGTAGATTTTCACATGGAAAAGGCAGAGCATCATTGGTTTCTTGGAGGGGACACACATTTATTATTTAGAACAGCCACAAAATAAATCCTAAGTGGCTTACGTTTGACTTCTTGACCTTCTGAACTGTGTAAGGATTCAACAGACTCAAGTTTGGCAGCCTAGCAATTCAACCCATTTTCCACGGTCCCTCAAATCCACGTTTCTGACTCCAACTACCTTGTCTGATGGTGAGCTATTTGAGAAATGAATGCAACAAATCTGCATTATATGAAAATAGCAGACCAAGCTAAAATGCAGTTGTTGATAATGATCTACTTGTGATGTCAAAAATAGCAGCAATTTTCTTCAGATAATTTGTTTTAGCAGCAGGCTATTTGAGGGATGCTCAAAGTACTAATTAGACCTGCGTGGTTATACCTGGCATTACTACACTTAAAACAGAACAATACGAAAAAAAAATCCTGACTATGTATTTGTTCTTCATAACATAGCGAAATCTAGCTCCACCTAAGCAATTCTTCAGGGTATTTTCAGCAGAGCGATCATCCTAAGCACCATCAACAAAAGGCACTGTTGCAACCATTCCTTCTTTGGGTTTTCTCAAGTGTCCCTTGATAAGTCATCTTCAGCACTAAAAGGAGTTCCAATATTGCATCTCTGAGCTAAGCCAGTTTCTTAGTTCCACAAAGTAAGTTGTGAAAAGTGAGGAGATACCTACCTGAGGTCCACCAATTGCATTTAAATCTTTCACGGAGGGTTTCCTCTTACCTGAAGTTCCTTTGGCTCCTTTCTGACCCTTTAAACCATGCAAGCCGTTCAGGCCGGGTAACCCAGAGGGACCTGCAATACATCACAGGCCTGTGAGCCCTGGGAGAAGACCAGCCCTGGGACTACTGGCCACCGCTCACAGCACCTCTCAGAGGAGGGCCTGCCGATGGAGGTGGACAGGTTCTCCAGGAGGGGTCTGTAGGTCTCACGGTCTACACATCATCATCAGGGCTGAATCCACGCCAGTAATTATTTAATACATTCATTTGACAAACACTTTCTGCCAAGACGACTTAACACATCCATTTCTTTGGTTGTGTTAAGTAGTCATGGCAGAACCTGGGAGGAGGGTGGGTTTCTGACCATTTCAGGAAGATCTTTCTCTCGGACCAAATACAGTCTAGAATTACTGGATCATGGTGTGGGCGGTGACCTTCAATTTTACGATGATAAAACCATCCTAGACGAGGAAAGAGATTGGGTGGGAGCAAATCCAGACCTCCCTCCTCCCAGGTCCAGGGTCCTTCCCCTCCACCATGATCTTTAAATTCTCATTTGTGCAGGATCTGCTCAGGTAGACGTTAAGGCAATAAGGGGAGGAGAAGCCTGTGGCTCACAGGGGAGTAACTGCCTTTTCTAACTTTGTTAAGCACTGTGCCACTCAGCAAGAACAGGCCTGAAGGTCAAGTTTGGCTGCAGCTCTTTCTTTGCGACTACTTCTTTCAAGAGAATCATTCGACGTCTCTTTGCAGAAACTGAATTTATTTCATGATGACCACGAAAAACTTCATTCTCTGTAGTTCGATGTGCTCTTGTGCATGGCTTCATCTCCTTCCGAATCTTCTGTCAGATATCAGCATAGTTCTCTAAGGAGACATCTGCCAACCTAAGTTTTCACTGAACATTGGACACCTACACATCTATAGAATTATCAATATATAGATATACAGCTACAGATTTATGTTTACATTATAATAAATAGCATATTGTACTACAATATATAAATATATAGATTATAGGAAGGGAGAGGGAAGAAAGGAGGGAGAGAGGAAGGAAAGAAGGTAACTCGTATGTACAGAACATTCCGGGTGCCATGTGCTTCACACACATCTTGCCCCACTGATGAATTTGGGATAAGAATCTTCTCAGCCCCTGGCCAAGGCTGGTAATCTTCCTCTTTCATTAATGGTTCTAACCAGTAGCTGTTCATCTCATCCAAGACTGTAAGTGGTTCGGGGTACAGCCAGCCATTCACTCAGATCACACCCCTTGAATTTGTGATACTCACAGCTTCACTTTATATGACTGACACACAGAAAGTGCCCACCCCCCACGCCACGACACCTGCAGAGACCCCCTCGATGCCCTGTGGCAGGCTCACACCATACAACAGTCCTGGCTTGGGTTTATTTTGGGTAAATTAATGGAGTGCAAGATCAGATCTTATTAATCTTTCTATGTACGCACTGGCTTATTGCCTGACACACACAGTCGGTGTTCAGTAAGTGTCTGTGGAATGAGTGAGTGAGAGGACAAGTGAGTGAGTGGAGAAAACGTGGAATGTGGAGGGTGATGACAAAGCTTTAAAGAGAAGTGGACTACAATTTCCATTTCATGTCACATCCTTCTGCGATAGATTTTTAGTAGAATCTGGGGAAGTGAGAGGTGTCCATTTATATAGAAGTAATTCAAGTGCTAATTACTATTTTCTCATTAAAGCAAGTCCTCCGTGGGCTTATTAGAAGGTGGACATTAGCTGGTTCCATTTTATTTATTATCAGTGCTTGAGACAGACAGTTATTCTGTTTTTAAAATCTAAAATTTAGTGAGGGGAGATAAATGGTGATGGAAGAAGACTTGACTTGGGGCAGTGAACATGCAATATACAGATGATGTATATAGAATTGTACCCCTGAAACCTATATAATTTTATTAATCAATGTCACCCCAATAAATTCAATAAAAATAAACTTTAGATTGGTACAAATGAGCCATATTCTCATGCATCAAAAAAAAAAAAAAAGGAATGCACCCTTACTTTCCCGAAAGGTCTCTTTCCTTACCACTTGAAACAGCTCTGCTTTAGTTGATTTTTCAATCATCTTTCCTATTTATGAGCCAATGTTCTAAGTTTTCACCAAAAGAACACACAGACCTTCCTCATCTGCCAAATCTGGATATTTACTGCAATCTATCTGAAATGATCATAAATTTTAAGACTCCTTTGCTATTTCAATGTGTTTTGATCTCCAGCTTTAAGCCACCAAGATTGATGGCTTGGGGGAGTTGGCCAGGGCTGGAATGCTTCAGCTTCTGCCAACTCTCCATTGTCACATCAACACGTCCAGATCCTGGCCAGTCCCAGCCCCAGCCCCTTGCCATTGTCAGACTGGCCGACCCTTATCTGACCCAATGTTATCTTTCTAAATTGAATGCAGCTACATCTGGGTAGGGTTTTAAGGGCAATTTTTCCTTTTTACTGAAAGCTTTTTATCAATCCCATCTCTAAATCAGAAAGTTGTTCATGCATAAAATATATACAGTGCAGATGAGAGACAATTAGGCTAACAAAGCACATTCCTTGGTAATGAGGATTTTTATTCACCTCTGACAACCATCACTTACGGCTGCATCTCGCTGCAGTCACAGGCCCGGGCTCTCCCTCCAGCACAGGATCTAACCTCCACTCCAGATGTAATTGTCCTCCTAGCTTCCAAATGTGTTAGCCAAGTGATGCTTTGTCACTGGATCTCCACTCTACGATTTTCTTCAGTCCTAGAGCCTGAAAACACTACTCTATCCCCATGGGCCTTCATATGGGCTTATACTTTTAAGAGGGGGACCACCTTGTCCCTGCTTGTTAGGGACTTTCCCAGTTCTTGCACAGGAAATTCCACAGCCTGAGATACCCCCTCAGTCCCAAGGAAACCAGGACAACTGGTCACCCTAACATTAAAGCTGATGGGAAAGAGAGACCCACATGACTATACATAATGGTGGAGCAGAGTTAAAACTTATCAAAACAGATTGTGAAATACGACTTCATTTTTCTTTTTAATTCAGAAAATACTTGAGTGTCTACTAAGAAAATGCACAAGACATAAGACATGGTCTCCCAACCCATGGAGCTCCAGTTCCCAAATGTACTTAGTGACAGGCAATGGATGAGACCATCCCAGATTTGATAGAACAAACAGGCAATTAACTTGGGGCTGGTAAGTGCCGTGGGGGCAGGGCAGGAGGGGAACTCTAGGGCTAAAAAGGGAGGGAGAATGTTTCTTGGCTGATAAAAGACATTCCAAGGTATTTTATTTCTTATTAAATATTTTACTTGCCACCAACCGAAATAACCCGCTCCACACTACATTATTTATATTTGTCTTTCCATCCCCATTATTACAATCTTCTGTGAACACCCAACTGGCAACGGGGTGCCTTCCTCCTAGGGCGTGTGCAGCGGGAAATTTACATCTAGGAATCAAGCCATTTTTAGCATATGCTTAAGTTAAAGTTTAAGTCTGACTGCACACAAGCAGGACTCGGAATCCATATGGCCCGTTCTAGCAGAGCAAACAACTTTGAGTTCAGCAGCTGGTTTGTTCAAACAAGAAAATCGGGCCCCTTGACTTATTGAGCACATATTTCAAATATTTAGTTTCTCAGTTCAAAGTGTTTCTGCTGGAGTGTGGTTCATTTTTATACCTGCATGATAAAGTGCAACAATGGATTTAGATGGTCGACGTTTTAATTTTTAGGAACGTGTTTCACTGTGTAGTTTCTTTTAAAGACTGGCTGTCCCCTGGGCAGTTCGCAGTGAAGCAGTGCCACCGCGTGGTTGGGAGGAACACTGCAGCGTCTGTCTGCACACTGGGCGAAAGCTTGAATGGTTATATTCATTTCCTCGCCTTCTCTTTTCAACAAACTTATTATTTCAAAGCACAGAACTATGATGTGATTGATGACCTGTCATGTAATTTGTTATTCGATCAAATTTATTAGCCATTGAGTTTTTAAATACTGAAGTTATGTAATAAACGCAATCTAATTCAAGGGAAGGAAGAATCAGTAGTAAGTTGAACCTTGTCATTTTAGCCAAACTGGGTGGATATTGTTATGACACCAAGACACTTGAAAATCCTTGCGATTTTACTCAACTAGCAGGACAGGAAGAAGTGGCAATGCAGTGGGAGTGGTTAATCATGAAAAATGTTTTCTTTTCGCTTCTTTACCAATTGTGTCTAGCAGACACTCAAAGAAGGGTCAGAGAACACCCCACCAGGGCTAGAGGGGTTGACAGACACAGGAAATCGCCACAGTAACCAGAGAAACTCTTAAGATAACACAATTATAGTTTTGCTTGAAGCCTTAAATTGATCACAAATCACTGGATTTCACATTACTATAAATGCTCATGAGGGGGGTGGGGGAAACAATACCAAGATGTCTAATCTTGCAATGGGAAGTTTTCCCATTGAATTATTTGGCTGCACAGAGATACTTATGTACCAACCTTTGAAAACAAAAGGCTTTCCTCTCTGCAGAATTGCTCCAGGTAACATACCACACTACTTCTTGCTAGGAAACCGCAATTATTTTAAAACTATCTGATGAGTGAAGAGATGAGAGTATAGAAAAACATCATTTGGATTTTCAAAACAGTAATATGATTAAGCTCAAAAGAAAGGATTCCCAACTCTTCCAAGGAGGGGTACTTTTCATTTTCCCAAAATGTAGTGTATGCACGAGACAGTAAGCAGAGGTAAACAGGAGGAAAGGGGAAGAAAGAAGAGATAGAGGGGCCTTGTTACAGAAATCTACCTCGCGAGGCTTGAACCTCCAACTGTTGATTGAGGTGGAGACCCTCACTGGATAGCTACGCGCCCAGTTGTTCCTTCTTCTGTTTGTCATTCCTTCATTTATCAGTTTATTCATACATTTAAAAATACAATAACCTACAGACATATTGGGTATCTCCTGAGTGCCATGCATATAAAAATAGTCTTTGCTTTTAAACAAATCATGTTCTACTTGATGAGAAAGGCCTCTAACCAAACAAATGTCATACAATATAAGTGTTACGCTAAGGGTAGATACAAAGTATTCATGGAAAAAACTTTTTTTCCCCTGAAATGAAAGAAATAGTGGAAGAAGAATACATGCCATAGATGAATGGGGGGAAGGCATAAAGATTTGTTAAAACTAAATTGTATAATTAAGTATATGACATTATATTAACCAGATCTATATTATAACTTGTCTACTATTAAAGGACAAAAAAATTCAACCAGGAAAAAATGTTTCTTTATCAACAAAGCTAATGAATACTAGTTCTTCTACAGCATCTGATTATTTGTCTTTCCCTTCCACTTACACAGCTGGTAAATACATATTTATGTACACGCATATATTTAATATGTGTCTTTCCTACTCAACTCTGAGCTCCATGAAGCAGGAGCCAGGTCTATTTTCTCCAAAATTGTGTACCTAGTATCTGGAACCTGGAACATATTAGGAGCCTAACTATCTGGGGAGAGAATAAATGAAGGGGCCTGACATTATGGAAAACACTGGGCAAATGTTGTTGAAAAATTAGATGGTAACACCATCATTTTGGTAGGAGACAGGTCAGGAGACTGGATGAGTACCGCCTGAAGTCCTGAGTAAGAAAGGACAGGAAGGTGCCAATGACATTCACGGGAAAGGGCCATGACCAAGGGCAATGTCACTGGGGTACCGGAAAGGCACAATAAATTTGCCCTCTTTAGCCTGGATTTATCCAATAGGCCAGGCTTCCTTTTGACTTACCTTTTATTCCTGGAAGACCTGGTGCCCCTGGATACCCCATGTGGCCTCTTGGTCCAGGATCCCCCATTTCTCCTGGCTGTCCCATTGGCCCCGGCATCCCTCGATCACCTGAGGATGACAGGGAGGTTTTGCAGACGTCCAGATGATACATGAGTTACATTAACTGGGAAGGTCATCTATGCTCTTGATCTATGAGACATGTGAACCAGGAACACTGTTTTATTACTTTTTCTTCCTAGACCTCCTGACTCTACCTTGAAGGAGAAAATACACTTTTGAGCAATCAAAGTTGCCGATTATGATTTCAAACTCTCACTTTATTCTGAATCGGCAGGAAAAGGAGCCACTACAGTGTTGTGTTGTATGTGTGATATTTACCTTAAGCCCCAAGGAGGAAAGAAAACCAGCACCCCGAACGGCAGGTAAGTCAGGAGGGGCTGGGAAGGAGTTCCCCCGTCGCACCATCCCTGTGCCCTGATACCACGCGAGGCCCTTCACAGGTGTTGACTTAGTTTGCTCCCAGACCAACCCAGTGAGGTAGGACTAGCTCCAACTGGCAGGTACGGGGGAGGTAAGTTCAGGTGACTGGTTCAAAGTTACAGGTCTGGGAAACGGCCAGAGCTGAACCCAGGTCTCCGTGACGGCTGGCTCTTTTGGATCCACCAAGAGACGGATGAGTGTCTGGGAAGGTTCCAGGCTTCCTGTCAAGGTACCTGGACAGCCTGGTGGCCCGAAGGAGCCAGGCAGTCCTGGCCTTCCGGGTGGTCCTCTGGGCCCTGGGACACCGGGCAAGCCCCTCTCTCCGGGTGCTCCAGAATGCCCTAAACAAAGAAGAATCAGAGCTCGGAGGCGCTGTAGATCGCTCTTCTAGGCGGCGAGTCTACAAAACCTCCAACAGCCCTTGCTGTTCTTTTCTCGTCTTCCTTTTTTATGTTGACACTTTTTCTATTGAAAAGATAACATGAAGGAACCATTGAAAACAAAACACCTATAATTTCATCACCTGAAACAATTTTATAGGCATACAAAGTGTAAATAATACCCACAATTTTATATTCTGATTTTTTAAATGAATATAAGTAACTTTCCAAGTTTGTCATCATTTTCCCAATTGTTGTTTTTCAATGACTGGCTCATAGCTTACTGAGTTCATCTAAGCTCAATTAATTAATCCAATTTTTCCTACTCATGTTTTTTTTCCCTCTCTCTTTGCTTTTCTGCCTAATGATTTTTATACATCTTCAGTAAATTTTTCTACTATTAAATTATTTCCTTAGGAAAATTCTTAGCACTAGAATTTCCAGGTAACATAATATGTCTGGTCTTTTTACTCATTTTTAAATGCTGAGATAGTTTAAAGTAAATCACAGACATGATGGAATTCCATCCCTAAATATTTCAGGAGGTATGTCTGAAAAAGCAACACTTTCTTGCATGGGCAAAATAACATTGTCATGGCCAAGAAAATTAATGACAATCCTTAATAATGTCATTTAAGACCCATTCTATACTTGAGTCCCCCCAACTGTCCTCTTAATGTCCTTCACAGCTGCTTGGTCCCCAGTGGCTTCCATTCCAGAAGCGCATGGCATCTGGTAGATACATCCCTTAAGTTAAAAAAAGTTGACTTTGGTCCCTCTCGGGACAGTGTCTCGCTGAAAAGAACAGCCCAGTTGTTCTTCTAGCACAGACCATTCAGCCTCTGGTTCTGGAGAGGGGCTGCCAGATGGTTTGGAGAGGGGTTGTGCCAGCGTACCCCACGACCTGTGCCCACGCACAGCTCACCCCCGCACGTCCAAGAACAAGCAGTGTGCTGGCCGAGACCTTTCCAGGCTGTCGGCTAGTTTTCTTGCTAATTCAGTAAGGATGCAGTAATATCCCAGACTTAGATCAAGTTACACTTTTTTTTATTACTAGAGAAGAGGACCATTTCCCCGTGCATTTGTTTCCAATGTGTGACCTTAATGCGATTCATATTTATAGGAGAAACTAACAGTCTGGGCTAAAAATAACCAGTTGAATCTACAAGTAAAATGAATGGCTCTGTATTGACAAAGCCGTGGGGGAGGGGGCATCGATTGGACTACCTTCAGCTTGTACAATCTTACTATCTTCAAGGTTCAGATAAAGATACCAATACGTGTAGAAAAATCTCCTTGTATTGCTGCCTGCTGATGATGACGATGACATTTGACATATGTTTAGCAATGTACAGTGTACACATTGCTCTCAAGGAATCTCGTTCGATGCTCAGAATGATCCTGCCATGTGCAAAGGGCCAACTTACAGGCGAGGAAACAGCTCAGAAATGACAGCAACTTGCCAAGACCACATGCACAGTAACAATGAAGGTTGACTCAGAGCCACTGGTCTTCCTTTCTGAGACCTCCCACTCTAGTATTTACTGTGGATCCTCACGACGCTAACCTCAAAACTTAGGCTAGCCCAGCTGGTGTGGCTCAGTGGTTGAGCATCGACCCATGCACCAAGAGGTCGCCAGTTCGATTCCCGGTCAGGACACATGCCCAGGTTGTGGGCCCGATCCCCAGTGAGGGGCATGGAGGAGGCGGCCAATTGATGTTCTCTCATCGGTGTTTCTATTTCTCTCTCTTCCTCTCTCTCTCTCTAAAATCAATAAAGAAAAAAAAAAAACGTAGGCTATGTCTTTCTGTTAACATATTACCTTATCGAGATATATTTGACCATGTGAAAGAGAGTGGGAGGTGAAGCCATGGTAATAGCTTGTTTCTGTTACGTTTCCATCTGAGCAGTCATGTGGGATGGAAACCAAGAAACATTTCCGACAATCGCTCTGCTCAGATGTTCTTTCTGTTCTATGGAATGAAACATGGCTATTCCCGGAGAGAATTTCAAGATAATGCACAAAAATGTTCATACGAGATGCTTTAATTTACCAGGGACCCATCTAAATACAAGCCTGGTTTCTCACCTGTCCACTATCAGCAAAATGACTCTGGGCATAACTTATGTAGCCCATTGTCTGTGGGTGGACATTGTTCTCTCCATGCAATGGGTATCCTTGTGGACCATGTGTACACTGTCTCACTGTCGACTTAAGATAAAATCCCGGGAGCGAAATGACTATGTTGAAGAGGGTGCCTCTTTCGTCACCTGGGGGGGACAGCCACAGCCTCCTCGACTGGAGGGCAAGAACTCACTGCATGTCACAATCTGTTCTGAGGGATTGCGCGTCCGTTGGTACTGATACACAGGGTACCATCTTGAAGAACTTAGATCTGTTCCTGGTGACGAGGTTTGACATTTGTTTGGTTTGTTTTCCAGTGAGTGAGATGTGACTAAAGGAGAGAGTCAGTGATACCTGGACAGTGGCCTGACCGGCATTCACATCTGCTTTTCTGTCGGAAACGGGCTGGAACGAAGACCTGCACTTGTACTCGGTGTGAGTGGTTATTACTAATGCATCACTTTTAATTACAGAGACTGCAAATGAGTCCAAGTTTTAATAACTTTCAATAATCATTTTCCGCTGTGTCAAAATCTGCCATGCCTGGGGAATGTATTATCATGTCAACATCATTGATCACGGGACCGCAGCTTAAGAAAGATTGTGAATCCCTTGTGTATAATCCTGGTGTCCTTCTCGGCCAGGGACATCATGCTGTGTTTATTAATAATCCTTCTGATAGGTATCTTAACGGCAAAGAGGGAAGAAAATACTGATATAATCGTTGCTGACTCAGAGGATAAAGTAATTGTTCTATTTTTCAAACTAAACTTAATTCTTTTTTGTTTTAATTTTTAAAAATGTAGTTATACCTGGACATCCAGGGTTACCTGGCTCACCCTTTCGACCAGGTGGGCCAAGCTGACTTGCAGGGTCACCTTTGTTTCCTGTAAGTGATAAAGCGCACACAACATTACTAAAGAGAACTTAATTTCGTCTCACAGACGTAACTTAATAACTTTTGTGATATCTGTCTCTATAGTCTATCTTCAAATATTCCAAGAGAGGATTTTTTAAAAGAACAATAATAATAATAATAAGCTTTATTTTTCTACATAAGAACAAATTGAAACACAGATGCAAGATGTATTTAAACACACACATGCACACACACACACACACAATGTTATCATTGATAACAATCATAGAAAACTGAAATCTTAATAAGTTTAAATTTTTTAATTCCCTGAGACAGTTTCCAATTTAGGCATCTATTTAAGAAATTCCTTGGCCTAGAGTCACTATATCCTTATATTGTGCTTTCAAAACAAAAAGAAATTGTCACTGTTTCAGCGGCTGCCGCCACATTCCAAGCTCTCTGCCAGGAAGCTCAGCTCCGTGTCCTTGTAAAAGCAGAATCACAAAGTCACCCTTTATTGATGCTCTTATAAGAGGTGATGGTCACACACTGTGCTGGAATCTTCCAGACACGAGGACTTATCATAGCTGGGAGACAGTTATAAATGGAGGACTCAAACTGGGTGGTAAGGAATGATCGTAAGAGAAAAAGAGAGCTAATTAGGCGTGTTTTCTAGAACCTGCTCACCCACACTGCTTTCTAAAGGGCTCTGACCCTACTCATAATTGTGGCTAATTATTGGAAGAGTGGGGATCTGGCCCATCCCGGGTCAACCTATCATTCCTTGAGAAGTCTTAGTAAAAAGTGAGAATTTGAGGTCGTTGGCTATTGAGGGAGAAAGCAAAAAGATGATCGTGACGTAGATGAACATAATGCCCTGACATAGGGCATGTTGGACTGGAATCCAAACGTATCCAGAAAGGATACTAAGTTCAGAGTAAGTAGGCAGGTAAGTGAGAATCAGACCACGGAGAATGGCAGAAAAGGCACGAGAGCGAACCATGGTTTCAGGACCAGATTCCATTAGCCTTCTTTCTGCGGGCTCCATGCACTAGCCCTACTCCAGGTATCTGAGCCCGCTTCCGGTCCCTGGGGATGCGGCCCTGATACGAGCATGAAGGAATGAGAAGCAGGTCTGTGCTTGGAGAGAGGCAGAAGGACTAGGATACATTTACAGGGAAGTCGAAGAGGAGAGAGTTCTGAATCATGAAGCAATAAAATGTCAAAAGTCAAGTATGAAAACTTCCCCTTCTATAACCATTTCCGAAGAAGAAGAGAACCATATTATTCTTTCTGAAAAAATGTGTGCAGTTTTTTTTGTTTGTTTTTACAGAAATTGTCATATTCTTTATGTGTCTTTCAAAGGGCAAGGCATGTATCATTGGTAATAGGGGAGAAGACTGTTAGGTGGTTTATTAATTAGTATTATACATTTAAAGGGGTTTTAAAACTGCATTAAAAGAAAATGCAACTGCATATCAAACCTGTGAATTCACAGAAAGTGAGGTGAAAAAGGTGAATCATTTTTTTTTAATCCTCACCTGAGAATATTTTTCTATTGATTTTCAGATAGAGTGGGGGAGTGGGAGGGAGGGAGAAAGAGAGAGAGAGAGAAAGAGAGAGAGAGAGAGAGAGAGAGAGAGAGAGAGAAACACCGATGTGAGAGAGACACATCAATTGGTTGCCTCCCGCACAACCCTGACCAGGGCCAGGGATAAACCCAGAATCAAACTTGTGACTCTTTGATCCTTGGGTCGATGACCCAATGGTATAGAAAAAATATTAACCCAATGCTATAGAAAAAGAGTGAAAATATTAAAGATTTTATGCAAACATTGCGATTTAAGGTAGCCTGATTTCTGTTCATTTTCTCGTTGATATGTATAAAGAGTTAATGAAATCTCTCTCTGAGGACACTTTGACATTGAGTCAACTTTCCATTTCTGTTTCCTGGAAACATGATCAAAGGAGAGTAGGCTGTGTTACAAGGTACAAGGTGAACTAAGGCCTGCAGCTTGTTTTGTAAATAAAGTTTTATTGGCACTTAGCCACGCCCCTTTGTGTTGTCTGTGGCTGCTTTCATGCACAGTTGAGTAGTTGTGACAGAGACCACAAACTGAAAATATTTATAATCTGGCCCTTTGAAAAAAACACATTTGCTGACCCTTGGCTTACGGTGAAAAATTACCCAATTGTACATGACGTGGCCCAGGAACTCTTAAGTGAGCTATTAACACCTGCTGGGAAGCCATGGCTTTGGTCTGTGTTCTGTGACTCCTGTACCTGAGACCCTGAAGGCTGCACCTGCGGAGTCCTTAGAAGAGGTCCTGGTTGGAGGGGGCCCGGGGCTTCTCAGCCAAGGTGGGCAGTGCGCACCCATGTGCATCCCGCCTCTTAGCACCTGATCTGCCTCTAACGAGCTGCAGTCGCCACAAAGATAGCAGCAAGGACTCCCCCCCGGGCGGAAAACCTGATGAGCCTGGCAGGTTGGCTGTTTCTAGCTGGTACTCTCGGGTCTGGATGACAAATGAGGACGACTTGGGTCTTCAGCGTTTGACTCTCTAGACGTGTCTAGGAAGAAGCCCTGAGGACCACAGTTTGTTTCCTCGTGCTTTGCTTTGCATGCAGAAGGTTCTTGCTCACAATGTTACAAACACCCAGGACTACGGATGAGATTGATGGCTGGCTGCTGTACCTCCAAACCATACCTTTAGGTCCTCTTGTTCCAGGAGTTCCTGAAAGTCCTGGCGGCCCTGGAGAACCCAGCTCACCCTGGTAGTTTAATGAAACAAACGTAAACCTTAATGGGGTTTCGCATACAAAGGATACAGGCATGCCATGACCCACTTACAACTTCGCATAGCCAATCTGGTGTTTATAATTCGCAGTGGTAAAGAAATCTGGAAATGCATGGTAAGCATACTACTACACGTGTCTAGTTTTTAAATGTTGGTGAAACTCCCCCAGAATTGGCGGTATCAGTACCAACCGGTAGCATCCAACTCTCTATACCTGACTGCAAAATAGCAACTGCATCAAATAACCTGGCTTTTAAGTTTTAAATAAACAAGTTGAAGACTAAATAAAATATTATTGGAAATTATGTCATACCACTTTAAAAGTCTGCTCTATTCCAAGAGGTGGGTAGCAGATTATTGTATGCATTTTCCAGGAGTTATGATGCAGACTGCGAATCTCCTGGCTTCTCAGGGGGCGTTTTACTCATAACTGTAAGGACCAAGTCACTATATTTACAGCAAAACCTGTGATGTCTGCAGTTGGCTATGCAGGCTAAGAAACCAGAATTTGAGTCATTTTTCAGATGACTCTAGTACACCAATGGTCCTGAGAAAGTCTCTGTGGAGCTGTTGAACCAGGCTGGGGGTAGTAGATGGAGTAAGTGACCTGGTCATCTATCTCATGGGAACCAGGCACTGGTCAAAAATTGTAGCTACATCATGGTCTTCCGGAAGTCTCCATTCTTCCCTTGGCCAACCCCTTAATTCTAAAAGACTGGGAAAGGGCAATGCTGTCCACTGGCAAATTATGACTCATGGGCATCCTGAGAGTAGAAGGTTTATTATTTCTTCCCTCCCAAAAAGCAACCACTTACCTGGTCACCTGGAAGTCCTGGGAAACCAATGATTCCTCTTGGCCCAGGTGAGCCAGGAGGACCTGGGAGTCCAGGAAGCCCCGGCTGCCCATTTCTACCCGGCTCTCCTTTGTGAAATCCAGGGGGTCCGTGCCTGCCTGGATGGCCTCTTCTTCCTGGCACCCCAGGATTGCCTTTATCACCTGGTGGGGTTGGAAGTGTTAGGAACCAATCTGAGGAACTCTTGGACTAGGCTGAGGGTCTTGGTCCTGCTTGTAAGAGATGAAGTCAATGGAGTCGGGATTTCTAGTTCCTGCCCTACACTATATCACAAAGGCTTTCTGCTTCAAGACCTGACTGTCAAAGAAGCTGCCCACGGACAGCCTCAAGGGCGTCCTAGGCAGGAAGGAGAGAGCACACAGGATCCTTTGCATCAACAAGCTCACGTTACAAATGAAGAAAAACTCACCCAGAGGAGTTTAAACATGTGTCCCTCCCAACTAGTTGAGGAGAGAACCAGACAAGAAGTCAGGTCTCACGCAGACTAAGTCTGAGCTTGGGAAAGAGCACACGGAAGTGGAGGTCAAAACCCTTGCTGTTTCTGAAGCCAGCAACACAGGCCAGGGAGTGCTGGTTAGAAAGGCAGGTTTGGCCCAGCCCTGCTGACTCAAAAACTCTTTTATCAAAGAGTCCCAAAGGACTTAGATGAACCCTGAAATTTGAGAAGCGTTGCTCAGAATGACTTGGACAATCTTTGTGCTCTTGACTTCCATATCAGCCACCAAAAACAGGGGTACTTTAAACCTGAAACAGTATGTTACATATATCTCGGGATCGATCCTACTTTGGAGTATCCAAATCTCTAAGTACATATGAACTTCAGCTAAGTTCTAGCATGGAAAAGAAAAGAAAAAGAAAGTAACACAAGTTCATTAGAGGACATTTTTATCTAAAAAAATGACATTTTCTAGTCTCAGTGTTACTGGGAATGTTGCCTAACGTGCATGCTTGTTTGAATGATGTGTACAGTTAATTTATTTTATATGGTTCAAAAACATAAGTATTTACCTTCTTCTCCTGGGAACCCATCATCTCCAGGAGGTCCAGGATCCCCGGGTTTCCCCTTTTTGAAAATGAGAGACATTTCTCCTTCCGCTCCTGGGGGTCCTCTCTCACCTTTGGGTATCAATTATGCAAAAGCAAAACAAACAAGCCCCGCACACGGGAGGCTTCTGTTATCACTGTGTGTCCAGTTTGCAAATCCCTATTCAATCTACTAAGCCGTAGTCGTGTTTACGGATTGCACAGTAGCCACAGTGTTGGTTGATTTCCTACAGGACCATCCATGCCTTTTACATACACCTCCCAACAGCAGGGTCTAGTGGACAAGGAGTGACAGTTTGCTCAACTCAGCCAAACTGGTTCCAGGCTGAAGTGAAAACGGACGGGCTTGCAAAGTCCCTGGTCTAAAATTCGTCTCTTCATCCCGGACGATGCGAATTGCCTATCGCCTGTGTTTCGGTCCCGTGTTCCCTTTCCTAGGCCCCTCTATTACCTGTCTCACAGGAAAAGAACAGACACTTATCTCGGTTCTCCATGTAGAAAATTCCAAAAAGTGGCCCTGGCCGGTTTGGCTCAGCGGTTAGAGCGTTGGCCTGCGGTCCGGAGAGACCCGGGTTCGGTTCCCGCTAAGGGCACGGACCTCGGTTGCAGTTTGTCCCCGGCCCTGGTTGGTCGTGCGGGTGGCAGCCACTCGATGTGCCCCTTCACGTTGATGTTTCTCTCTCTCTCTCTCTCTTCCTCTCTCTCCCTCCCGCTCTATCTGAACAAAGAATGGAAAAATGTCCTCGGGTGAGGATAAAAAAAAGAAAATTCCAAAAAGTGGGAAGAGCACCTGATATCTCTGCCTGATCTTCGTTAACACTGTCCCTCTGTAAAGGGGGTCGGAGTGGGCTCCTACCGGCTTGGTGAGAGCCAATTAGTAACAATTTGAGAATGTTGGAAGCTGTAAATCAGCCGGTCTGGGAGTGTTTATGCCACCGTGGGAGTATGCATGCCATGGGGTCAGCAATCACCACACGTCAGATGCTTATTTTCAATCTTATTTTGGAGAACCAGTTTATCAACTCATCATTGCGTTCACCTGCTTCTTTACCCTTCCAGTGGGATACTTGTGTAGTGAGAAAGCACAGCAGACCTCCCCCAGCGAGCAAGGCCTGCCTCTGACTGCCGATTCTGCATAAATAATTTACAGCCAGCAAAGAAAAATAACAGCAGAATCAACCAACTGAGAAGCAACAGTGAGGTGAATGAACTCTAAAGCTATTTGCCCAAAGGGCTTTGAGATGTTTACTTGTTTCTAAACATTGACAAGTATTCGTTGTCCACATGGGAAATGAAATGGGACCTTCACTCACTGCTGCCTCTGGCTAAGAGGTGAAAGTTTGTATTTAACAAGGATGGGAACGTTTAAACCAGGGACCTCAAAACTTCTATGTTTTATACTAATAAAAGGCTTTATTATTTTAATTGTTCAATTACACTTGACATTCAATATTTTTGTATTGGAAACGCTTCCTTTACGCCCGGCTGGTGTGGCTCAGTGATTGCGCATCAACCCATGCACCAAGAGGTCGCCGGTTCGATTCCTGGTCAGGGCACAGGCCCAGGTTGTGGGCCCGATCCCCAGTGGGAGGCATGCAGGAGGCAGCCAACAGATGTTCTCTCTCATCGATGTTTCTCTCTCTCTCCCTCTCCCTCCCACTCTCTCTAAAAATCAATAAAGTAAATTTAAAAATAAATAAATACAAATAAATGAAGCTTGGGGGAGACTCAACTCAAATCCAGACGAAAGGGAACTCGTTCTATGTTCAAGGTCGGCAAACTGTAGCCCAGGGGCTACACCCTGCCTGCTGTCAGTTTTTGTGCAAGTCACGAGCCATGACTGGTTTTGACACTTTTAAATCATTGGAAGAAAAACTAAAATAAGAAAATTAATTGAAGTCCATCTTCATAGGTAAAGCTGAATTAGGTCACAGCTCGCTTGGTGTTTACGTGTTGTCTCTGGCTGCTTTCACGCTACGAAGACTGAATTAAATCGTTGCAACAGAAACCATACTGCCTGCAAGGCCTGAAGTATTTACATCTAGCTCTTGGCAAAAATGGTTAATTTTCTAAATAAAAGGATTGAAACAGCATTTGGGAGCCAAGAGCCCACACCCCTTCCTAAAGGTGAGACAGTTTCTGAAACCCCAAAGCTATAAATCAAAGCACGCAGCGTTAGTTTTCTTCTATTAAAAGAGCAATTCATTTACCATCATTTTATTTAGTAAGATTGAGAGGTAAGGAAAATGAATTTTGCTTAAAATTCGAAAACCAGCACCAAGAACCGAAAGGAAGGGGAGGGACCCCGCTGCAGGCTAGTCCTGCTTCCTCCTGCAGAGGGCCGTGCACACGTCCTGAGCGGACACGCCAGCAAACCCACGCTGCGCCCCCGTCCCTGTGCTGTTACCGTGCTCACCTGTGGCGCCTCTCAGTCCCCGGTCCCCCGGGAAGCCAGGCCGCCCCTTCTCTCCGGCTCCTCCCTTTCTGCCAGGGTGTCCCTCGGGGCCAGGCTTTCCCCTCTCTCCTGGGAAACCCGGCCAGCCAGGCAGGCCCGGGGGTCCTGACGAAATAAAAGCATGAATTTTTAGGGAAGTATTTTTAAAGGGGAGCGTGGTCCCCAGGTCTGAGTTCCCAACGTCTGTCCAAGATGCTCACTGCCCCGGACTCTGAGTTTGTACTGAAGGTGAACAACTGTGATCAACCTCATGCTACTCAACAGGCTGGCTCTCGCACCCCACACACCCCAAGTGCAGGTCCTCGTGTTTCTGAGTCCTGATGGTTTCAGAGAACTGGGTGTGCGAGAGGCGGCTGAAGAGAGGGTGTCCATTCAAGACAGAATCACATTAACCCTAATCCTACAATTTGTGGGTTGTGCCCAGTTCACTGAGCAGACATATTTAAGCCTTCTGTGTCCCTAATGCCCCATCTACCAAAACATCCCACCACCAGAAATGCAATCCAGGGACAAGAAGGGAGAGGCCCCCATGGGGCGTGAGGCTCATATAACAACATTCTACGGGGTGGTCACACCTAACAGGCTTCGCTGGGCCGTGCATTTCAAGTTAATGAAATGAGGAAAAGCATTGAAAAGTGCTACCCACCCTTGGGGCCTGGAAGACCAGGTCGTCCATCCTCCCCAACAGGGCCTGGGGTTCCTGGGGGTCCTGGGGGTCCGGCTGCCCCTGGCCTTCCTGGGGCTCCTGGGAGGCCCTTCATTCCAGCTGGTCCAGGAGGCCCCGCATCTCCTGGCTGGCCTTTCGCACCCGGGGCACCTGAGACAGGGCACAGGGACAACAATGCAGGAAGACTGAAAAGTGGCCTCTTGCACAGGCAGAAAAACACAGTCATGGCAGCAGCCACTGTCTGTCTGTGGCCGATGAAATGACAGTGAAACAATAGTTATCAGCTGAAATGAGACCAGCAACTCTCCATCATTTCTACAAATACAGGTATTTCTGGCTTATAAAAAAGAGGGCAGAACTATTTCAAATTTTTACTACGTGAAGAAATATTTCCCCGTAAGGATGCATGAATATTATAAAAAGTTTTTGTTTGTTTGTTTTTTATGGGAAATAGATCAGGCATAAAAACCCAAATGTAATTTGTCTTTACTCTTGGGGTGGGGGGAGGGGGGCGGGACTAAAGAAGAAACTTGCCATGTGCTTTCGGAAGCTATGGCCAAGTGAGTCTTGGTCAGGCTGTTCACTGTGATGAGAGAATTGTAGAAGCCAGAGCAGTACCATCTAATATTCCTGGTGCTAGAAATGAAGCTCTGGCTTCCTTTGGCCCCAATCCCATGTCGATCCTACGAGAAGGCGTATTCCTGCATTTGGATGGATACAATGGGATTTACGTAACAGGAGGCCATCTGAACGCTGAAATGAAGATGCTGTAGGAAATAGCCCCTAGAACCCTGTGTTGAGAAACACGATTTCATGAGGCTCTTCAAGCTCCTCCTGTCTTGCTGGGTCTGCCAAGGACACAAGGTCCAGACTGCTCTTTACCTGGGCTATTTGTCAAGGTCATGTTCGCAGCCAGCAGCCTTGACAGGTGATATAGCACCTCCCCCCGGTGCAGGAAGCAGGCTGCCTACAGGCTACTCTAAACCAGAGGTTCCTCAGGCTCAGGGCTGCACTCAGGTTCTGTAACCGGCTGTGTGCGCGGCATTCTAGCCCCCCTGGTCGCCACAGAGAGACTTGAGTGACAAGGGGGGGGGGGTGGCACAAACCAACAGGAAGCTCGTGCTGTTTTCTGTGCCGTGAATAATGAAGTTCTTTGTCTCTGACCAGGAATCTTGCTTCTTCCAGCATCCGTGAAAAGAGCAAGAAGTGAGCTTATTCCTTGGAAAGTCAGGGAGGAAACCGCAGACCCTTCGCCGCTCTTGAGACCTGCGGACACTTACCTGGACTGCCTGGAGCCCCGGGGAGTCCCGGTCGCCCTGGAAATCCGGGGGCACCTCTTTCACAGGAGTGGGCGGGTGGACCTGGGATCCCTGGAAACCCAGCACTTCCCTCTCTGCCCTTCGGACCTTTGAGACCTGGGAATCCGGGCATGCCATCTGGCCCTGGAATGACACAATTCATCTGTGACACTCACGGCGTAAAACGATGTGGAAGGCCGACCCCAGCGTTGAGGCGTGTCAGCATTCCGGGCCGGGCTCTGGGCTCAAATGAGTTAGATCTCTGAACGGATTTTCTTTTCACAGATTGTGAGCTCCGAATGAATGGTAAGCCGTGCACTGCTGGGAGAATTACTCGATAAGGTGACGGAGACAACAAAGAATTTGCTTATGTAAACGGAAAAGACCACGCGGTTCTGCCTGATTCCAGCTCACCTCTAACACTGCAGAGCCTCCACCCCCTCTCCACAATTCTTACAAACCCAAGTGCTGTATGAATTTGCGTTTCATGGGATATTTCATCACTTGAACGCTCATATTCTATTTAGTGGAAAGGCAGGGTCATAATCTTCAGAAAGTAAAATAAACCCCCCATAATTCCACAGCCCAACCCCCCAAAAAAAACCTATTTTATTTTTACATGTTTTCTTTAAATATTTGGTTTATACGTTTACATTTTTTTTTTTTTTTTTTAATCCTCACCTGAGGATATTTTTTCCATTTTTTTGTACAGATAGAGTGGGAGGGAGGGAGAGGAAGGGAGAGAGAGAGAGAAACATCGACGTGAAGGGACACATCGAGTGGCTGCCACCCGCACGACCAACCAAGGCCGGGGACAAACTGCAACCAAAGTACGTGCCCTTAGCGGGAACCGAACCCGGGTCTCTCCGGACCGCAGGCTGACGCTCTAACCGCTGAGCCAAACTGGCCAGGGCTATACGTTTACATTTTTAAAGTAGTAGTCACAATGCACATTCAGTTGTTAGATTATTTCACATTGCATATTAATATGCAAATGTTTTCCATTTTGTTGTAATCTTTACAAATATAATTGTAATTGCTAATGCTAATAGCTGGAGTATTTCTTCTGTTGAGTGTCTGTGTGTGAACTTTCTTTATCGCGACTAATACTACAGTTGACCGTTGAACAACTCAGGTTTGAACCATACTGGTCAACTTATATGCAGATTTTTTTCAATAAATACTGTAAACGTATTTCCTCGTCCTTATGATTTTCTTAATAACATTTTCTTTTCTCCAGCTTACTTTATTGTAAGAATACAATACATAATACATATAACATGCAAAATATGTGTTAATTGACTGTTTATGTTATCAGTAAGGCTTCTGGTCAAGAACAGGTTATTGGTAGTTAAGTTTGGGAAAGTCAAAGGTTACTTGTGGATTTTTGATTGTGTAAGTGGGGGGTCCCTAACCCCAGCACGGTTCCAGGATCAACTGTACAAGAGTATTTTCATATTAAGCTGCATCTTCTGTTGAATACTGCCTGACATACATTGTCACAGGTGAGAGAGTAGGGTTATTGGCACAAAATTATTTCCATTGACTCACATAATGTGTTGCTATTTTCCAATTTATTGGATTTTTGTATATGAATATTTTGACTTAAACCTACCAAGCAAGCTGCCCGAGGACAGGGAATGTGGCTTATTGCCCTGCCCCCACACTGGCCCTGTACCCGTGCACTGTCCTGGGTGCCGAACAAAGGCTGGCCCTTCTGCTGTTAGAAAAAGCAGAGCAGTGTTTGGTCAAGCCGGCCTCGGTCCACTCTTGGTCCCTAATACCCAAGGAGCTCAAGTTCATACTGGACTGTTGGGCCTCACCCAATTCCGATACAATGAATCGCAATTCCTGAGACGGGGGCCCGGAAGATGATGATTTTAATGACCTGCCCCCTCCCACCCCAGGATTACTTTTAAGTTCATTAAAATCAGAAACCTCTGTTGGGGATCCTGCAGAATCCTCAGTGATTTCAGAAAAGGATGTGAGTCCGTGCCTGGCCGTCTTCCCACCCCGCGTCTGTTCATTGCTGCCCGCCTGCTCTCCCTGCCGGAATGAAGGTCTTGTTTCCCTGTCACCTGCTCAAACCACACAGCTGGCTGCCAGGGCTGGGGGTGCCCAGCTCTCCCGGGGAGCCTTCCCAGACTCCCGGCCGCATCGCTCCGCCGCCCTGAGCTGCTCTGCCTGGTCCCTGTCCTGTTCTCCTTCAGCCTGGCAGGGGAACAGCAGCTTACACAGTCCCTGCTCCTTGGCACTAGCACCCGGTCCCGAGTCCAGAGCAGGCAGACAGGGGTCCAGCAGCTGCTGAATCCAGCTGAGTGACTGAGCCACAGAGCTGCTCTGGTTTGACAGCAGCCGATACAATGCAAGGGCAACGGTGGAATGTAACCGGTGCCCACAGAGGGGGAAGACGCCTCCGTGCCGTTTTTATATTCTCCATGTCTAAGGCAAGGTAGTCCAACCACTCTTCAGTGACCCATCCCAGAACCGAGCTGGACGTACAGACACGGGGACAGGGCAGTCCTCATACCTGCAGGCCCGGGGTGTCCTGGGTCGCCTCTGAGTCCTTTCGGCCCTGGCATTCCTGAAAGCCCCCTCTTTCCCGGGGGTCCGGGGTGACCATAAGCAGGGTCTCCAGGGATTCCTTTCTGACCCCTTGCTCCAGGTGGACCAGGACGGCCTGGGGGCCCGACAGGCGAGGAGCCCTTTTCACCTTCAAAACCTGGGTCTCCCTTGTCACCACGAAAACCTAGTGAGCAAAAAATTGTTTCAACTGTTAAACATAGAAACATGGACCCTATGCACATAGCAGACTACCACTTTGATAAAAACACATTTTAAAAAAATACAAAGATACTTAATAGGTATTGTTGTTTTTTCTACCTCTTGCGGGAAAAGACATTATAATTGTGTATTTCCTAGAAGCCATCGATTCTCCCCCATTGCTGCTTTCTCGGGCGAATAGTCTGTCCGGATTGAGCAATTTTTACAACATAATAGACCGATAATGGCCTGTAAGTCATGCTTCAGGTGAAGGAGCCAGAGAACTCACAAAACCAGTATGACCTAAAAGTTACCGGAGCACAGCTAAGAGCTCAATGTATCAACAAAAACCACGGCCCCGTCATCCAGGGGTGTCTGGGCCATTCCCTGCCTGAGATCACCAGTTTTAGAAGTTTATGACATTCCTAAGGAAAACACTGCCCTTACCAGGTGGACCAGGTATTTTTGATATTCCTGGTTTGCCAGGCCGACCTTTTTCCCCATCAGAACACGGGAGCCCGGGAGCACCCCGAGGACCTGGACATCCCTTTGGACCTGAACAATAACAAGAAAACACAGACTCAGTACCATACACATTAAATGAGAACATAATAAGGTGGTTTTTGAAAATCTATATTGTTTTATATATATATTTTTTTTCTTTTTATTGATTTTAGAGAGAGAGGAATGGAGAGGGAGAGAGTTAAGAGACATCCATGAGAGAGAGAATGTCAATTGGCCGCCTCCAGCATGCCCCCCACTGGGGATCAGGTCCACAGCCTGGGCATGTGCCCTGACGAGGAATCAAACCGGTGACCTCTTGGTGCATGGGTCGACGCTCAACCACTGAGCCACACCGCCGGGCTATGTTAAGTCTTTCTAAGAGTATTTCTACTTGATGGCAGTGAAGATGCAGCCTGGCCTGGGTCACACAGCCACTCGATGAGGCACTGGCCTCAGGCAGGGGTTGCGTTAAGGTACTTTCTCAGAGGCCACACTATGAAGGGTTCTTCCCGAAAGCTTTCGGAACGAACACCGTCATTGACTTGAATCTCCTGGTACCTTCCCGTGCTGGGTCTCAAACACAAACATGCGAGCAGAGCCTGTCCTTGTGGGAAGACAGAGGCAGTGGCCCTTGTGTGGCCTGAGAAGACATCAGAGTCCAGGCCAAAATCTATTCCCTGTATCTTACTGCACTTGCCCTCACATGAGGTACAGGCCAAACGCACCTGTGAAAGGAATTGAGGGTGTTTTTTTTTAACCTTCTGTGATTTCCTACTAGGAGATATCTCAGCTAAAGTAACTTACAAAGTATGAACAAGTTTGAGGGTTTGCAGCCCTTGAGATGAAAGGGGCTTGAAAGTAATCGTTAACTTTTCTTTATCCATCTCTGACAAGTTACAGGAGATGTGAAAATGAACATTTGGTCAGTCAACGAGCAATGCTTCTCCGGCCCGTGCTGTGTGCTGGCTGGGGTGCCATTCCCACGCTTTGATCTGAAGCTTGGTCCCGTGACTTGCTTTGGCCAATAGGGTGTTAACCATGAAGCAATGAGAGGTGTGAATTCTGCTGGTAAAGCTGGGCTACCCTCCTGCATTTCTGCAATCACATGACACAAGCACATGCTGGCCTCACAGTGACCTGATGTCACAGACCTGAACCTGGACTGCAGCCGGGGACTAAGCCAATAGACCCCAACTTAGATCAGCAGAACCCCAACCAACCTGCAGACCCATAAGAGAGAAAGTCAATGTTTGTTGCTGTAGCCCACTAGATGTTCAGGTTATTACACATTATTGTGACAAAAGCTATTACAGTCATTCATCATTCAGCTTTTAAATACCTTTTGTTACATAGGACAAGAAAGGTTACCTAGTGCTCAATGGATGAATTTAAGTGAACTCTGAATAAATAAAAGAGAATTCGGCAAAATTCCTGATACAGATTTGGGGTTCTAATTTAGCTATAAAGACGTGACTGACTCGAATAAAATGGCGTCATGAAAATGCCATCAGGAATGTAGGTATGTGGGTATGTGGGCATTTCTCAGACTGCTTCTGGTCTGATGTTTGGGTCCCTTTGTAAAGCAGAATAGAGTAAATTTATTAAGCAAATGATCATGTTTTACTCTTGGGACACAGCTCAAGAAAGATAATATTTTAAAGCTCTCAAAGGACAGACGTTTCCGCTGGTGTGACCAAATCAAGTAACTTGTTGCGCAGCGATATGACAGACCACCTGCAGTGTGCCCAAACCAGCCGGCTAGAGACCCCATGTGGATGACTGAAATGGTGTTTTCCCATCATCCCTCAAATCCGTGTAATACTCCTTATAACAATTTTAGAAACACCCTAACTATTTGCCTGTGAATTTGCTGTTGTTTATCTATTTTGCCAAGTATTTTGTTCTGGGGAACGTGTAAGACAGTCACTTCTCATTGATCATACCTGGAGGTCCGTCCACACCTGGAGGGCCTGGCCTCCCAGGGTAGCTGACATTACAAGAAATGGTATCACCTGGAATAAAAAAAAGAATACATAATTGATAGCCCGATAAATTATGAATTTCAAAGACAACTTGATCAATATATTTTTCATAGAGGATAGTATATAGAAGTCAAAGGAAAAGACTTCAAATATCATAGTGCACTTGGACTACTTTTATTTCAAATTTCCAGAAAATCTGTCCTCACATCTGAACTTCAACTCTCAGAGCTCTTATAAACATAAGGGAACAAAGAGAAATATTGATTCCAAGAAGTATCAGTTTTCATAACATAGAATAAATATTGGATTTACAGACCCATGCATGGCGTATACCCTGGAACCAGAGGCTGGGGTGAATCAGGAAACAGCAGTGGACACCCACACTGGGTGCAGAAGATTTGGCTCCTAGTTTGGATATGGGGAATTGTGCAAATACAGAGACTGGGAAAGATATTAATAACAATTATCATTTCCTGAGGACCCGCCATGGGTCAGGTGCTTCAAATAGATAGCCTCTTGTTTTTCTAAAGACTTTGCAATGTGGTTATTGTCATCTCCAATTTTAATAAGTAAGAAAAATAAGACTACAAGTATGTGCCTCTGAGTTGCCTTCTCCTTTAAAATGGGATGTTCCTCTTTTATCATAGAAATCATATTTCATTATGTATTATTTCATATGCTCTCAAAGCAAAACCATAGGAGATGAATAAAAATCATGTTAGATTTTGATAGGTCCCAGACCATGATTTTAAACCTTATTGAATTCCAAGGTATTTGCCTTTCTAAGTTGTCAAATCAAGAACCAAAGATATTACTTTCTTCTGAAATTTCACATTTAACAATGTAGCCCAAGGTATATGTACATATTACAAAAGAAAAAATCTTAAATAAATCTATGTCCAATCTTTTAAAACATTTCCAACTATAATACTGCAGACCATTTTATTGTTTGAAATTCACAAAACTGTCAAATATATTTAAAATCCTTTTTTTTTTTCCTCCCTAGAATGCCCACAAATGAGTTTTCGGGAACAATACGATGTGTTTTTAAATAGAACACTAGCTGTTTTTTTTAATACACTGCCTTATCTCAAAAGATTACAAAAATAGAGATTTTGAATACATGTATATATATGATTTTAATACAGCCAGATTGTATAAGTTGATACTGAGAAACGAATGAAAGGCAACTCTCATACGCCAAACAAATCAACAGAGACGTCTTAGCATGCAAAGGATTTGTTTTAAATACTGATTGTGCAGTAATGCTTTTACTCTTTCGGCAGAGTTCAAGGTTTGAACAATAGCTCGTTGGAGTTTCATTAGTGGTTTGCCATTAGCTGTAATAACTCACCCAGAACAGAGGCTCCCTTTAGCTTCCACGATCTCCTCTGACATACTGTCACACAAAACATTCAAAATTACCTTTCTGACCCTTCACGCCTTCAGGACCCCTCTTGCCTGGGTGGCCTGGGGCTCCTGGTTGCCCCCTTTGCCCCGGGGGACCAGGAAATCCCAATCCCGGAGGCCCCCTCGGTCCTTCTCTGCCAGGGGAGCCCGGGAATCCAGGGAGTCCTTGATCACCAGGGCCTGCGTCTTCATGATCCCCCTGGGAACGTTCACATCACAAGTCAATGACCAAACTTTGAAAGTCTATGAAGTCAAAGTAGTTATCGTCATAGGCTAATGAAACTCATGCAGAAAGCTTATTTTTCCAGGAGAAAGGGACTCAATAGTAAATATAATGTAAAATAATTAACTTAGATTCTTCCTAATAATTTAGAAAGTAGTTGGGGGGAGTGTCTTATGCCTCAAACATAAAAAGTTACGTGGTTGTGACATCTTAAATACATAATAAGAAATTTTATATAGAACCATTCTTCATTATTAAACATAATAAAATGTAGAAATAAGTACATTAATTGAGGTAGTGGGCTTGCAAATTAAGTTCTTATGCATTTGAAATTGTTTTCCTGAACTCTTATGAGAAGATACAGGGATAGTCTCCATCACAATCCACACCTGTGGATAAAGGGCTGACAAATCCTTTCCCCTCCTGCATAAGAATTTGACCCTCGGTTAACTGTCTAGTTCTGTTTCCCTGGAAACTTCATAAAAATTGCATGTTAACTACATTACGAGGCAACCTTACTTACAGTGCAATCAAACCCAAGTTGTAACATTAGCAACTGGTCTGAGAGAACTGGAAAGACCACGAGAGGTGGCTCCTTCACTGCCAACTTCCTTGTGGGGTCCCCACAATCTGTGCTGTGGAGGTAACAGCCCTTCGGGGAATGAGGCTCTCAAGTCAGGGCTGCTCGCACATCTGCCCCATGTGGATCTCATCTCCTTCACCGCAACTGGATGCCCAACTGCAAGGGTTCTTGCTCACGAGGAACACCTGACCCTGCCCTACTGGCAAGTTGAGGGTCCTATCTTCCATCCTCTGAATAGCCTGGTCCCAAACATGATACTTAACAGGGATGTGAGTCTGAATAGCTTCAATGAAGCTAGAAAGACTCCCACCCTTAGTGGCTGTTATTGAAATTCCTCTCCCAATTTGATCTGTAAATATACTTTGGTTTCATATAATAAGGTTAGTGTACATGATGATAATTGCCACTCAGTGACATTGCTTCCAAATAGGTCCTCAAGCAGAGGAATGAATGAAACAGGAACTATCAAGTCTACAGCAGAGAAAAGTATTCAGGTACTTGATAGCAGCTGAAAAACCAGAAAGCTAGAGACATGCTCTAACCTGATTTCTAAGCTTGTGTTGTCTGGATGAATTCCCGAGATCAGAACACGGTTCTTCCCTATCATCACCCAGCCTGGTGGAAGCGTCACGTGCTTTGGAATAGGACAGAGTGGAGTTTTCACTCCTTTTAGCCTATTTGATGGACACATGACCTTGAGTAGCAAACCCTACGCCTCCATGTCCTTATTGTAATATTGGAGAGATCACTGCTCTTCAGAAGACTACTATTATGAGTAAACATCTAGCTCACTTCCTGTGGCATGGTAAGCATTCAAAAATACCTCATATACCCAAGACAGTTTAAATTCCTGAGCATTGAAACATGCCTCCAAGTCTTTCCTGATGGCCTTCATCACCTGCACATGGTCTCCACCCAAAACATGCTTGAAAAATGCAAAAAAATAGAATTTACCAATACATTTTCCGTTCAGTGGAGTTTCACTAGTTTATTCTCTTTTACTTGCTATTTCCCTTCCTCATGTGCTTCTTCACTAGAGAACAGAACTCAAGATAATTATCAAGACCTGTGCTCGATCCTCTTCCCTACAGAAGCAACTGAACAGGCCTCACATCAGTGGGGGTTTTGTAGATACAAGGGGAGAAGGCCGATATAAAGGCTGGAGACACAAAGTCGTGCTGGACAGAATTGCCACACGGAATTTTAGACCGTCTGCATTCACACCATACCTTTTATTTTATTTTATTTTATTTTATTTTATTTTATTTTATTTTATTTATTTTTTATCCTCACCCGAGGACATTTTTCCATTTTTTGTTCAGATAGAGTGGGGGGGGGGGGGAGGGAGAGAAAGAGAGAGGAAAGAGAGAGAGAGAGAGAGAAACATCGACGTGAAGGGACACATCGAGTGGCTGCCACCCTCACGACCCAACCAGGGCCCGGGACAAACTGCAACCGAGGTACGCGCCCTTAGCGGGAACCGAACCCGGGTCTCTCTGGACCGCAGGCCGACGCTCTAACCGCTGAGCTAAACCGGCCAGTGCACACCATACCTTTTAGGACAGCCATCTTTTGGTGGCAATAACTCAAAGGTGACCCTGGTACCAGCACAGTAACACTTCACTGAGAGAGAGCTTTGTAATTGAGAGGAGGGAAACTGATGCTTGTGCCCATGTAAGCAAGTGAAATTCCATAGCAGAAGAATTGTACATACCGGGGGTCCTGGGTCCCCTTTAGCTCCAGCATGTCCATCCCAACCATGCTGTCCCTGCTGCCCTGGAAATCCTGGGGGCCCCTGAGGACCTCTTTGTCCTTTGCATCCTGAGAACAAAAAGCCAAAAAGATACTCAAGCCCTTATCAGAAGTGGGTGAAGTGGAAGAAAACTTGGGATACAAGATAAAGCATGACCTTGACTCTGTGTGAGCTGGTAGAGATTCCTCTGAGTGTCCCAGGTGACTAAGTCACACAAAGACAGCTGTGCAAAAGTCAGAGGGGGAATGACAATGGCCAAACCCACTGAATCTTCTATCTGGGAAACATCCCTCTTCCCATTCTTTTTTTTTTTTTTTTTTAATTATTTTTCTTTATTGATTTTAGAGAGGAAGGGAGAAGAAGAGAGAGAACATCTCCTGGCCGCCTCCTGCATGCCCCCCACTGGGGATCGGGCCCACAACCTGGGCATGTGCCCTGACTGGGAATCGAACTGGTGACCTCTTAGTGCAGGGGTCGCCGCTCAACCACTGAGCCACACCGGCCAGGTTGTCTTCTCATTCTGACAAGGAGGTTCCGTATGGAGACGCCAATCATGACAATATCTCTCCCCTGCTTGTCCTCCATCTCCTGGCCATTATGAATGGGGCGGGGGGTGTTCCATGATTGGGCACTAGCCCCAGGCCGTCCAAACCTCAACTATTTGTCTCCCTGGAGCTGAGAACGTAGAGCTCCCTTTCATATCTGGTGGTCGACGTGGAGCTGCCCGGGGCATGTACCCGCAGCCCAGAGAAAGCTCATCTTGGGGGAGAGTTCAGGTGGCACAGTGAAATCTGCAAGACGCAGGGGCAGTGTCCTCTGCAGTTGTTCCACACACACCCTGCGACTAACCTTTCAAGTTGTGTTATTTGGCCACGGACTTACCTTTTCTCTTAAACTACTTCCAGCGGGATTTCTGTCACTTACAACTGAACCATTCTTGATTAATGCAGGCTACTAGAATGCAGTGAATACACACTGAGCACGTCGGAGAAGGGCTGTTTCAAACCCAAGTTCACAACAATGGAGATTTGAAAATGTGGCTAAAGGAGCATTAATGTTTTCAACATTGACACGACTCAGTGGAAGACAGAGAGGTTTTTTTTTTGTGTGTTTTTTTTTAAAAGAAATCTCAATAATCTTAAGTCTTGTTATAGAATCGATCTGCGGTCACAAGGGGAATTACTGCAAGAGGACGTTCACATATTCATACGACGGCAGCTGAGTGATTAACTAGGCTCACCTTTGACTCTTGGTACAACCATGTCTCCTTTTTCTCCTTTGCTGCCGGGTGTTCCTGGGGCACCAGGTCTTCCCTTGGTGAAAAATAATAGCAACAGATCAATTTAATTGTGATGGGTCAAAGGTTACTCACATTCGTGTATATCTAATCTCTCTCATCCTTCCTTCTAACGAGCTGTTCTAGAGTCTAGCTTGGTCAGCTGGGTCTTATTATCTTCCTTGCCTTTTTGAGGTGGATCCTACCTTACAAAACTGAAGTTCTTGAATTGCATGTAAAAGCTGGTGGATCTGAATACGGTCTGTACCTGAGCCCACAGATCAATATCCATTTCATGGTTTTGACAATGGACTTGGGTTATGTAAGATCTCATGGGGGAAGGTACACGGGAGTTCTCTGTATGATTGTGTAACTTCTTGTAAGTAAAACTTTATTTCAAAATAAAAATGTGTAATTAAACCAAAACTTTAAAAATGATCTTGGGCTTTGTAATGTAGAACTGAAGGGGAGAGGAAGGTTAGTCAGAGCAGCTCCCACCAGAGCAGAAGGCAGAGGTTTAGGGATGAGTTTGTGATCAAAGAGACCGATACTGAGGGAAGTGAATAAGCCAGAGAAGGAAAAATAGAAGCTTTTGCGAGAGTCAATATATTTCCTCTGTCTATCAAGTCAACAACTAATTCTGGCTGAGGGCGTCATCATCTTTTGACCTCAATTGCTCTGAGACTCAATGTTTGGATGATGTTTTTGTAAGTGTTATCGAATAGCAAGCCAGGTCAAAAATCTAGAACCCTACTGTTGGTACATTGGAGTGGCCAAGCATTCTAGTAAATGTATTTGTAGAAATACCACACATAGGTAGCTGAAGCTTACATATCTGGTAATAAATAACCAAGAAACACAGGCAAGAATTTGGAAGGAAGCAAAGATGACTGAGCAGACCATTTGTTTTGCTCTCACACGGGCCACGTTGCCTCATTTTCATACAACCTCACAACATGTTGCAGCAAGCTTAATTATCTTTTCAACCGGCTCTTTCTAGCTTATCAGCAGTGACGTGTCAAGGGGAGAAGGCCCCAGCAAGATGAGCACAGTGACGCATCAGTGAGAAGGTAAAGAGACCAGAAATATACCCAGCAGGCATGAAAACTGAAATGGACATAATGGTTGCGAGCCACTTCATGTAGAGAAAATATACACACACACACACCAGCCACTCAACACACTCAAGAATATCACTCCAGTATAACACCCTGAGTGTAACGATGTCTATGAGGAATCAAAAAGGTGAGTGGAACACATTTCTTAGTAGAAATAGCCACATTTGGCAGGAAGGGAACTTTAGAAGTCATAAAGTGTTCATATGGGTTGAGTATTGTTTAAATTCTTATTTTTTACTGTCTACGCTAAGTCATAAGGGACAATGAGACAGAGCCAAAGTGGATGGCATATAGTATCCAATTTGAGAGGCAGATAATGAAAACGTCCTTCTGATGGGTAGAATATCAACAGAAAACTATTCACATAGCATTTGAATCAGTTTCTCTCCAGAGAGAATCCCAGGCATGCTTAATAAATACCCTGGAAGAATGGATACACCCTGGGAGTCTGAGCAGTTTATCAGTGACCACACTGGCAGCTTAGAATGCATTATAAATTGCTCTAAATATCCTGCAGATACAGAATTTTAATTACTAGAGTCATAGACTTAGTTGAGCTAGTAACAAAAATGACTAGTGCTGTCTTTAGAATTCACCAGAGACATTAATTTACTTAGAACCTAGAGAGCCAGGCATTATTCTGAGTCCCCAGGACACAGCCATGAAAGACTGGCCTGCCTTCATAGCACTGAAATTCGATTGAAGCAAATGTTGACTCTAAGGAAGCCCTGGGGCAGAGAGGTTCCCAGCCACTTTGGGATCGAGGGCCACTTTTCACAGTTCTAAGACCCCATATCACTGAACACATGTCGCAGCAGCAATGAAAATGTCCTCTCTGCCACATGTGTACTAGTTGTTCCCAACACAGCGATGGGTGACCATGGCGAGGACCGGAGGACACAGACCTCGCAGGAGCACAGCCACCTGCCGGCATCCAGCAGCGGTGGGAATTCATGGACCCTGTGCTAATGAACTTCCAATTTCTCAAGGACAGCCATGAATCTCGTATTAATAACACAAAAAAGCAAGAACCACACATATGTACAAAGGATATGTACAAAGGAGTGAGACCACCCACAGTGATTGTCTGTTGTTCTTTCATGCTTTCTCCTTCTGTCCCTCCCTCCCTCCCTCCCTCCCTCCCTCCCTCCCTCCCTCCCTCCCTCCCTCCTTTCCTTTCATAGGGCCCCATGGTATAAACTTGGCCCCTAACTGGGGCTACAAAGAGACGAATTTAATGCAGAGAAGTTATGTGGACAGAATCAGGAAAGACACCAGAAATACGGCCAGGTTAAAGACCTAAGCCCTGGAGGGCCCGAATTACAGAAACCTTAGCCCGGCTTGTCCTGGATGAACGGGCAGTCCACACTCCAAGATGTTAGCCCCAAGAAGCAGCTCAGTAGGAAGCCACAGGAATATTTTAGAACCAATACAATCTTCATTAGGAAGAGTAACTAGCAACAAGAAAATGACGATGATAAAATGTTGTATTAGAAGAGCAGACTATAAAATGCAAATTACTTAATAATGGCAACCGACCCTAGTCCGTGCGTGAAGGACCCAGCTTCCTGCCGAGTAGGAAGAGTGCTTTGCAGTGTGACAGGGTGGTGCAGGGGCAGCGCAACCATCACCCTCACTGCGGGGTCTCAGATCGGAACCTTATTTTCATGAGATTTCCTGGGGAAAATGGAAAAGGTTCACGGGGGCTGACAATTGAGCCTCTTTAATAAGGAGGGAAAGGAGGGTTGTTCCCAGCCTCCAGAGGAGTGTCCCGGGGAAGTGATTTTATTCTGAGGGACAGCCAAATAAAGTCACTTGCAGTGGTCAGCAAATGAGAGCCGTTTTGAGATACAGCTCATCCACTCTCTGTACCCAAATATCACATAAACTCTGACAGCGCCAATGTTTACATCACCAGCCTCTACCTCTGATCTGCATCATCAGCTTGAATAGTACCCTCCCTGCCTTCTTGAAAGCTCCATTTGCTTGTCGACTAGGCATCTCAAATGCAAAATATCTCCGAGGATACTGCTTCTTGTCCTTGACTCATGCCTGCTCCTTGCCCTAGCTTCGCCGTCTTGGCTCTGTCCTTCATGTCTCTTCTTCTCATGCGCCATGCCCAGTCTGACAGCCAAACTGTTAGCTCTATCTTCAAAATATATCCAGAACCCGACCACGTCCCACGATGCTAATCTGTGGGCCCCTGCAGGTCACCAGGATGGCTGCAGCGATCTACCTACGTCTCCCCTGTCCCCTGTGGTCTGTTTTCAAACAGAGCTACGAGGATGAGCCACTTAAACTCAATGTCAGATATGTCTTTCTTTCCTTAAAACTCACCGCTAGCTGTTCTGTGCTCTCCAGAGTAATATCTCAAATCCAATCCACTCACAAAGCCCCACGCTCAGCCACCCCTCCTAGCCTCCAGCCGTTTCTTTGACTTCCTCTTCTCCTGCCCTGCCCTTCACTCTCTCCACTGAAGCCACACTAGATGGTGGTGGCCTTTATCGCCACCTGCCATGCTGTGTAGTTTTCATCAATCTGTTATATAGTGTATGTCTTCCCAACAGAGTAGAGGCCCCCAGAAACTGTTCTGGTCCCTGCTGTATCCTTGGCACCTGCAATGGCACCTAGAACATAGCAGGAGCTCAATAATTATGAGTCGGATGGATGGATGGATGGATGGATGGATGGATGGATGGATGGATCAATGACTGAATGAATACAGATAATTTGGGGGCATGAATATATGGATAGGTTCAAAACATAAAATACATATCACACTATAAGTTAGAAACAGGTCCAGTTGAATTCTCTCTCTGACTCTTTTAACTAGAAAGACTGTTACTGGCAAGAATTACTCACTGGTGGCCCTGGAGATCCTTCAGCACCAGGAGGGCCTGGGTGACCTTTTTCTCCAGGCCACCCAGGGAGCCCCGAGTCTCCCTTGCTACCCTGCCGCCCAGGAAGTCCTGGGGGGCCTGGTGAGCCCATGGGGCCAGGCTTGCAGGCACAGAGACCAGCATTTCCTAGACAGAGGACAAAAGACAGCTTTGTCATATTTCCTGAATAAAATCCCAACAATGGCTTTATGATACAAAATGAATAGTGAAAATAAAAATAAAAAAGGTCTGATGTACACAATTCTCAAAGCAGAACTGATAAGGCACGATGTGGAGTGAGAGGCACGGTGTGCCCTGGGGGCATAGACCATGCCTAGGTCTATGTGGGGTGGGTATATTGTTTCCATACAGATGGGTATTCTGAATCTTAATAAGCTCATCCTGACAAAGTCTATGGAAAAAAACGGATGTCCAATTCTACCTAAGAAACTTTAAAAATAGGAACGATTCTAAGTTGGTTCCTACTAAAAAGGTTTCTAATTTTGTTCCTGCTGAAGAATCAACAATAACTTGGTTAGCGGATAAACCCTGAACATTTAAAGAAACAAAATAATATGTGAAGAGGGGATACTGAATGCACTGAGCATCACAATGGGTAATTCACTACAATGCATTTTCTAATCATCGGGATTTTCAGTGTTTTTAAAAAAAGTCTTTAAAATAGTCAAACTCCTCATCTCCTACCCTCCTGGCTGAGATGGTCAAAACGGCAGCAAACAACTCGGGGTAGAGAAATAGAGCCACAAGCAGTTGGGGAGTCTGGGAAATATGGGACCCGCAGAAAGAAACTGAAATCAAAGATCAATACTATCGTCTCTCCGTTCTTTTAAAAGATCAAGAGGATTTTGTGAAAAAGTTACCATTTTGAGGCAAATTTCATGGCAGGTAAGTTTCTCCTTTATACACTGAGGTATGAAGATTTGACTTTTTGGTGAGATCTGGTCACATGACAAGCACATAATGAAGCAGAGTACGCACAAGGGATGACCAAGGTGAGAAACATATCTAAACAAAGTGCCACATTGTACACATTACAAATGCTTCCCAATCCTGCAAACGTTGTTGTCTTCTAGAAATTCTACCTTCGAAGCATACTTGCCTTTTTCTCCTTTTGAGCCTCTTCTTCCCGGAGGACCCATTTTGCCTTTCACTCCTTGTGGTCCAGGGTGTCCAGCACTACAATGTATAACTTCATGGTGGGAAAGGGGAGGGACAGAGAGAATCGCACGGTTTTGTGAATGTCTCCTACGGAACAAGGAGTGTCTCGCACTCACATCTTCCCCTCAGCCCCATCCTCTCTCCCACTCCTTCTGATCCTTTCTCCCTGACATAAGAATAGACCACACAGTTGTTACATCATTGCTTCTGCTGCCATAACCTGTGGTCAAGCCATCCTGACCTCGGCGCTAACGAGTGGGTTGCGGAGCAAGACAATGGACAGCAACACAAACAAACATACCGAAGCAAAGCAAACAGAAAACTGAGAGAAAGGGCATCACAAGGATCTCGTCCCCCTTCAGGGATCAATAACTACCTGGTGAAGAAACATAAAGCAGAGCCTATAAAAGCACAAATTCAGAGATATCTGATTAAAAATGACATGTAGAATGCAAATAAGTTTCTGGTTCTCCCCACACTCCAGGAAAATAACATGCAATAAATGAACATTATGAAAAGGCATAAGCCTCAAAACGAAGAAGAGGAAAAGGAAACAATGGGGGAATAAAAAGGTGAAAAGACTCAGCAGACCCCAAAAAGCTGAGTTCTAAGCAGGCAGTAAGGAGAGCAAAGGGGGAACACCAGTCATACCCGAAATCCCCGCCAGCGGGCAGGAATGGAGCCCCTGAGGAAGAATGACCATGAGGACCCAACAAGATGATGTGTTAAAGAAACAGTCACACTATCAGATCCCCTTCTCAAAAATTATCAGCCTCCCTCCCCCAAACTGCAGAAAAGAGTGCAGCAAGAAGAAAACTTTAAAAAAAAATGATATAATTTGCCCGGGCTGGTTTGGCTCAGCGAACCAGAGAGGCCCAGGTTCAGTTCCCACTAGGGAAACATACCAAAAAAAATTTTTTTTTAAAAAGATATAATTTAAAAAGCAAATGAAGGAAGGTATTTTATCCCTGAAACATGAACAGGCTGCTGTGAACGGAAACAGAAGAGAACACTAGTAATAACGAAATCCTTGGAAACTAGGAAAAAGAGGTGATAGCAGAACTTTATAAATTCAGGAGCAGAGTTGGAAGACAGAGTTGAGAAAATCTCCTAGAAAATATTACCGAAAAATAAAAAAGTGAAGACTAATTGATTAAAGATTTTAAAAGAGACATGTAGGATTGACTCTCTGACAAATCTGTAGAGTTCAGGAAGAGAAAATGGGGAGAGAAGAGAGGAGAGAATAGCTTCAAAGAAATAGTTTAAGAAATAGTTTTTCAGAAATGAATGGTTTGCATTGGATTAAAACTGTCCACTAAGTGCTTGAAAATAAATGCAGATGTACACAAAAAAGCAAATCATTGTGAAATTTAAGGACATCAAAAACAAAGAAAAACTCATAAACTTTTAAGGAAAACAGATTTCAAACAAATGATCAAGTATCTAAATGTCACTGAACTTTCCAGTAACAACATGGGAAGACAATGGACAATGCTTTCAAATACCTGAAGGAAAAATATTTCCAACCTAGAATTTTATACTCAGTCCAACTATCAATTAAATTCTGCAGTAGAATAATGCCATTTTCAGATAGGTAAGATCCCCCACGTTTACACTTTTTCTCAGGAAGTATAAGAGAGAGTAAATGATTGAAAGAAATATGTAACTTGTAAAAAACAAAGAGCTGGAGGGGGTCTGATGTCCCAGGATAATGGTGAAGGTAGATCTCAAGACAGTATCTCAGCCTCAGATTAAAAATAAAACCTGACCTAATTTGAACAGGTCTAAAGCTCCAGGTTGAATTTATTCAAAGAGATAATAACACTGATTGAATATTTAATGAGATACAATGTACTATTGGGAGATTTATGTAACTCTAGGTGGGTTGAGGTTAAGTAGCAAACACTCACACAAAAACAAGACACTTGTTAATAAGACATTGTTACACTGGAAAAGTACTGATATATAGTATTATATCGCTAAACTGGTGAATAGCATTTTATTACTCTTCATTGTAAACACTGAATATTTATTTAACTGAAATTATGATATTAACTATATTTATTTTCTAGTGTGTACATGTGTGGTTGGGAGAGAGGGGGAAGAGAGCCTAATTTATCTTGTATAGAGGGAAGTCAAAAGATAATGCTCAAACCTAAAAACTAAGAAATACAAGTATGTCGAATGGCAACACAGAGACAAATAACAAAAGATGCAGCAAGGAAGAGAGGGCATTGCCTAGGATGGCAGTTCATCTTAACTGGCTTTGTAGAACTGTTAGACTCCTAAGCCAGGTGCATTCTGATAAAAATTAGAACTACATTTAAAATAATAAAAATTGTGTTAATTTACAAAATTCGATCATCACACTTAAATTCTCCACCAAAGAGTTCCATATGCTCTCATTGATGTGATAGTCCAGTATCAGTTTACTTTTTGCAGTATTAATAATACTAACTTGGAACTATTAAATAAATTTTAAAATATTTAGAAAGTCACATTATCAAAATGACACTACAAATACCAAATTCAGCCTAAATGTTAATGAGCGTGAGTGAGAAGCACTTTACCATTCGATCCTGGAGGTCCCTGCCTTCCCGGGGCTCCAGGCAGCCCAGGGGGTCCCGGGTTCCCTGGTTTTCCCGGAGCAGAATCTGGTCTCCCAGGAGGGCCGGCTGCCCCTGGAGCACCTGGATGCCCAGGCAACCCTGGCGGCCCCGGGAGTCCCATCGTGCCTCCAAAAGAAATCAAGAATGAAAACCACGTAGACTCTGAGATTAAACTTTTCTGTAGAATGAATCAAATTGGTACATTCTTCCTTGGGCTATGACAGTTTTTAACGGAACAATTTGTAATTAAAAAGTAACTGAACATCCCGGCCATCAGACCGCCTCGCCCCCTGGGAACCAAGCGCACAGGTGGAAACAGGCAGGTTTGGGAATCAGATTTTCTCTCCTTTTCCTTTACTTTGGGATCACTGGGGAAGAAGTACATATTATCAATTAAATTATTTTTTTCAATCTTTCCACCTTGAAAACTTGCTAAAAATAATATCAATAAGCACATTAGTACATTTGGTGAATAAAAATATGGACTCAATCATCTGAATAAGACATAAAATACTATGACAACCTAGGTTGGTGGGGAAACACAGAGGTGCTAGATCTGGCCTCTCCATCTCTGGCCACAGGTATTTAACTTCTTTAATCCTACATGTCTATCTCAGAGGCCTGTTATGAAGATTAAATAAAAGAATCGAACCTTGGTCAGTTTGGCTCAGCAGTTAGAGCATCGGCCCACAGACCAAGGGGTTGAAGGTTTGTTCTGGTCAAGGACATGTACCTGGGTTGCAGGTTTGATCTCTGTCCCCAGTAGAGGTTGTGCAGGAGGGAACCAATTACTGAATCTCTCACATCGATGTTTCTCTCTCTCTCTCTCTGTCTGTCTCTCTCTCTCTCTCTCTCTCCCTTCCTCTCTCCCTCTCTTCCACTTTACCTGAAAATCAATGAAAACACATCCTCGGGTGAGGATTAACAACAAGAAGAACCCACATGAGAAGCTTAGTGCAGTATCTGGCAATGGCACGTGCTCATCGAATGAGTAGATGCTCAGTGTGCTCGGAGGAGGTCGAAGTGGGTGCCCCAGCAGAGGCTGAAGCCTGCGTCCCCTCGACATTCTACTCACCTCTCTGGTGGCTTTGGCTCAAAGACAGTAGAAGCCTTTGTGTGACAGTGACCCCTTGTCTAGCTGTGCCTTCCAAAGCACTCCTGGTTCTAGAAGGTCTTTGTGGAAGGTTATAGTTTTCAAAGATGGCCACATGGTCGCTCTTATCCCTCGTGTTCCTGTAGAACCTTGACTTGCTCCTATCAGCAGGTGGAGGGCCTCCCTCCCATTGAATGTGGAGGCTTTCATGATTGTTTGGACTCTTGGGGCATGGTGGGGGTGACACAACCATGTCCACGGCTAGATCATTATGTGTGACTTTATGTCTGCCTTGGGAGCTGAATTGCTTAGCACGGGCGTCCTGGCCCACCGTGGGAGCGATCTCATTGCTCCAAAGCCACCATGCCATAAGGAAGCCTGAATGAAGCACGGAGCTCACACAGAGAGACTCTGAGACTCTACGGGAGACATAGGAGGGAGACACCTGGCCAGTTCTCACATTCTGGTTCCTGCCCGCCATCAATCCTGGATCCAGAATGGCTCGGCGTAGCCTGCCCTGTATTCTTGAACCACAGAAAGAGTGAAGGGTACTATAACAATTGTTATTCTAGGCCACTAGGTTTGGGTAACATGTTCATTCACAGACAACTGAAGCTTTGTCAGTAATCAGTAGTAGAGCCTGCCAGTTAAATAATGGCTTTCATTACTGCCTGCCTGTGTGCTGGGGCTTACATGTCTCCACACATTGGTTCTACTCCTCAAACAATCCTGCCAAGTTTGGACCTTACAGATAAGCCATGGAAAATTTAGGCCAACTATGAGCAGTCATAATAGCTAACATAAGTGAATCTTTAATGGATGCCAGGTTGTATTCTAAGAACTATATGCATAGTACTTCTTTCAACCCAAATAAAAACTCCATTTTGCAGAGGAGAAAACGGAGGCACGGAGAGGTTTAATAGATGCCCACTAGCACACAGCTTGTAAGCAGTCGAACCGGAAGTGGTTTTGCTCCATAGTGTGAATGCGTAACGGTTTCCCTATACAACCACAGGTGGCTGACTCCAAAGCCCTGCTGAACTCACAGTAAATACTGTAGATGACGAGAAAACAAAACATGTGTAATAAAGGCCTTACACATTGGTGTACTTAGGACAAAATGAACATGTATTCCTTGGACTTGGCTGCTATCTTGTCCTCGAGTATTTCCTAAGACCTGACTCTGAATCTACAGTCACTGGGTGGACCTGGATGCTGCCTTGTCCCAAAGCCAGGGGAAAAGCTCAGCTGACTTGCAGCAGGAAGAATGGATTACAGTGTATGGCAAACATCGGTCCGACCACCCATTTGTAGAGCATGAAATCTCTTCAGTGGTGGCCAGCATTTAAAGGATGTTTTCCAGGAGTAAAGAATGCACTAGCAAAGCAGGCATCATACACCATAAAGGTATCATGCGGTAAAATTTGAAATTATACGTGCATGTGGACACACGTCGGTGTGTGCTGTAATGTAGATGCAATACAATATCAATGACTTCTTACTATGGGTTGTAGTCAGGATTTGAAAGCCACTGGGTTAATTCTTTATAAAAGAAAAGACTTGTGGAATTAAGGCTTCCTGTTGTATTTGGTTTTGAATCTGCTGAACACATGTCACTTACTGCCATTGAGTTTGTTTTCTTTTTAAATTTTTTAAAATTGATTTTAGAGAGAAAGGAAGGGGCAGGGAAAGAGAGATAGAAACATCAATGAGAGAGAACATCAATTGGTCGCCTCCTGCATGCCCCCCACTGGGGATTTGGCCCACAACCTGGGCATGCAGGAATCGAACCAGTGACCTCTTGGTCCATGGGTCGATGCTCAACCACGGAGTCACACCGACCGGGCTTGAGTTTTTCTTTCAATCAGCTAGAGGCACTATTTTATTATAAACAAATCCAAGAGGAGAAATCTATGACTAGAGTTTAATGCTTCCTGATCAAAGAGCACTCTTATGATTTATACAGTCCTGGGTCAAGTAAGCCAAAGCTATGATGTCTAAAGATTAAATGAACTAAGCCACGCTCTGCTACCTTTGTGGCCATCAGAGCCTACAAAGTGGAGGCTGGATTTGTGAAAGGTTAAACAAGAATGCTGTGGCCAACAGCTGAATATCTCAGGAAACTTCTTAATCCTCCCAGTCTGTATAAGAAGAGACACAGACTAGATGACATTACATTTACTCAAGACTTGCCCCTCACACGTTTAATCAGTTCTCCTGGGTTGACAGAATGCAAATATCCTCTAAATCTCTATTCCTGATCTTACTAGGAATATTAACCAGCACAGCACTTGAAGGAGCTCAACGTCCTTAGGTCGACAGAATTATCTCCCAGACTCTTCATCAACTACCATGAACTATAGAAAATTTTGGGAGGCAGGGGGAGTGGGTAAAATGGGGATTATTATTTTAAACTAAAGCTGAATCAAAATTTTACTTTTTAATTCATAGTTTGTATTTCCACATTTCATGTGGGAATTTTAAGTAGGGGCAGGTGGATGAAGTCAATGTGGACAATTAGGTGTCTAAAGGAAGAGCCTTCCAAGGAGATGAGGGAGACCTGAAGAAACACTCGAACCCGAGCACAGTTTCCAGGTCTTCTCTGCACGTGATGCTCTCATGGGAAGCCTGGTACGCAGACATATTCCTCACCATCCCCCTAAGACCTTGGTTGAGTATTTCTGAGGTGCAACCCAAGAACCTGGATTTCTTCCAAGTAAGTGATGAGCTGGCTGGAGTTTAGTGGTTCTCAGCCCTGGCTGTACGTTAGAAATGAGAGGCACCTTTATAACAGCAGATGCCTGGGTCCATCCCCCAGGGAGTCCAGCCTTCTCGGTCTGGGGCAGGCACAGCCTTCTGTGTTTTAGAAGCGCTCTAAGGGGATTTCAGTCTTAGCTGGGGTTGAGAGCCTCTGGTGCGAATGAGGAGGTAGCAGACCTGGTTTATAAAAGCCCGTGGATTCATACCTGGACAGGCTTCCCCTGGTGGCCCCGGGGGACCGGGAAGACCAGGAAATCCAATAGATCCCGTTTCTCCATAGCGGCCAGGGAGTCCTGGATCCCCCGGAGGGCCTGCCAAAAATAATGCTTGTGAGTATGATGAACGCATACCTACGTTTTAAAATCCACCCACAATTCTCTTTTGTAAGGCTTGCTGGAATGCAACGAGGAGACTTGGGCAGCTTCTCCCCACATCTGAAATGCTGTAGCTCAGATCTGAGCCCTTCGTCAGCTGCTGCTCTGCAGACACCTGACCTCTGAGAGGCGCCGTCTCTCATTGGCGGAGGCCGCTCTTGTCTTGCAGGCGCCACCCTGGTAGCTCTTAGTCAAATGGTTTTATACATATATTAAGGGCTGAAAAACCCTACTTTCTGAAAGGTGACAGAGTACAAATGCCAGCATACAGTGCGCATACTAAAATAAAACCTGTTGCCTTATGCCGATAGAGATGAACCAAGATGCACCTGCGAATATGTCTTCGCACCCAAGTTCATCTATGTAACCTTCCTGGTGGGTGAACTATGAAGTACTGCGTCAGATTCCTCTGTCAGGGACACTCAACCCCCATGTCCAAATATTAATGGAGGAACTGAAGGAAACACAAACCTTTGAGTGGAAGAGGTGGCGTTGTCAACAGCCCTGGCGGTCCTGGGAGTCCGCGGTCTCCAGGGTCCCCCTGGAATCATTCATTCATTGACTTTTCTTAGAAATATGAATATGTTTGTCATGTTGCCCAGTATTAAATAAATATTAGAAGGACCAAGAGTACATTCATATAAGAAATGAAAAGAAATGAACAGTTCACATGGACTTCTAGGAAGAACAAAGGCATTTGACTTCTGACCCATAAGCAGAAATACAACCAGCTGGCAAAATTCTCCGAAAAGCATAGAAAATGTTTTTAACTCCAACGAAGTTATCTCTGTAGTCGTAAATTAGATAGCTCTGAAGCCATGAAGTTTCGTGGCTATACCATGAGCACTAATGTCTAACTTGACCTTCTAGGACAAATCGTTTGTTCACCTACAAGAGCTGAATCTACATTTTATTTTTAGCAGCAAATAGGGTCCCTTTTCACTGTGCCCCTCATGCTACCATGGCTTGTCTTGGGCAAGAGCTGAATGTGAGTCACAGAGCTTGCAAAAAAAGAAAAAATTCGGTGGTGGTAAAAGCAAAAATCTCTCCATGTCTCCTATAAGCATGATGTTGTGTGATCCCCATGGAATTTCTTTACATTTAATTATTATTCACCTTCAAGAGGATCATTGCTCAAATATGAAATGTAGTCATTACAACATGCAGTAAAATACTATATACAAAATTAACTCTGTCAAAGGTTGCATTTTTTAAATCATTCTTTGAAATATTTTCTTAAAATATATTGGACAACATAAGGCATGCAGAATTTTGTCAGGCGACGCTCAGACGGATTCACTTGTTTACCTTTAGGCCAGGAAATCCAAATGGCCCCGGAGTTCCAAACAGTCCTCGATCCCCCTAGAAATAACCAGAAACACGCCTTTTATAAAAAGTGTGATTGGGTGACAAACTGTCTCATTGTCGTTTAATTTGAGCAACACACGTTCACGGAGATTCTGTGCAAAACCTTAACATCTGAACACTGCTTTCGGGTCGCAGCAGTCTGAGCTTTGGCTTTTGCATCCACAGCTTTACCATGTGATTCGTACAGTGACTGTGCCAAGCTTTCCAATCACCGAGTGAGACTTGGCATGCACTGGCCCAACTTGTGAATGACACTCAACTGCATTTACTAATGAAAATGAACTTAGCATCTCTACAATGGTGTACATTTACCTTTAATCCCGGAAAACCTGGGGTTCCATAGGAGCCAGGGACACCCTAAAAATCAACACAAACAGAATTAAGAGGCAGGCACCAACCAGTCCAAGGAATCAAGGAATCATATTTCATGTTATGAGATTGCTCCATGGATATTTCATTTTATCTGCAAAGGTAGTTGAATACAAGGAAATAAATATAAGGTAGGTTCCATTTCTTTATAACATTTACTTTTTAATTGGTCTTTAGTCTATTTGGAAAAAACAATGTATGTCCTCGCTGGTGCTTTAGAGTAAGAACATATTTTTGTCGTTATTATGTTTTTCCATTTTAGTTGACTTAGTGCTTGCACTGGGCTAAATATCTCTGGAATCATTGCAATATACTTTGCCTAGAGATTAATAGTTGCTCCATACATTATCAGCAATGAAAATTACTGTGGAAGCCAATGTTGACCCATCCGGTACTAAATCCAGAGTCAGATAACACTCAATGCCCATGCCCGCTGGGGTCTGGCCTCCGTAGTCACTCTATGAAGAGGAATCACATCATTGATGCTTTTGGTGATGTTTGGGGCCTGATTCTGTGCTTCTTTTTCCAGCTCCTGTTTCTTCTTTTATCAAATAGGCTTAAATGAACAATTCCAAGGGACGACCATATTGACCCTAAGCCGGGCAGGAAATGCCACAGTCCTGTTAACTTCCCTCCAATTCTCCCATTTTCTGCTTGTCTGTTTTATCTAAGTGATGTCCATGGGCGGGGTTTGCTGGGACTTTGAGCTATTACACAATTCATGCTGTCAAAAATATATTGCTCCTATTTGAGATCATCCTACTTCTGAGCTCTCAGAAACATGGATCTAGTTTTATAAAAATGCGAGAGAGAGATGCTTCCAAACTCACTGAAGTTAAGGATGGTGTGAATGGTCCTTACCCGAGGGCCTGGGAAGCCAGGAATCCCCTTTTCTCCTTTCTCCCCAAAACCAGGTTCTCCCTTAAAAAGATGGCAACATTTACAGGAGTTGAAACAATATTTCACCCTACAGGATTATAATAAAATAGTGAAAAAGTCTAGTAACATGCAATCACATGTAAAGCAATGATAAAGCCAATACAAACTTTTTTTTTTTATTAAGATAGCACATCATATAAATTAAAAAAAAAAAAAAAAAAAAGCTACTTTGATCAAATTACCTTGGGTCCTGGAGGTCCCGGAGGCCCAATCCTCCCAGGCAGGCCTTTTACACCCTAAAAAACCATAATCAATATAACTGGCTTGTTCTTATTATTTAAGACATTAAACTCCATCTCTTTCAGAAATGGTCTCTTTCTACATCCATTTTACTAACTTTTAAAATAAGAGATTACTCTTCAACCATCACTGATCAGCAACTAAGATCCAGGTGCACCTATGAACCTGACACCCTTCGGGCCAGTTCCGTGTGAGGTGTGATGTCGTGGGCACTGGCGGAGAAGACCACGGAGCCACGACCACAGGTGCAAGCTAGGAATGCAGCCGCTGGGAGGAATGTCTTATTTTGATCGTATTAGTGAAATTTAATCCAGTAATTGAAATCATCGACAGAACCTGCATGGGCATCCGTAACACCAGCCCTGGAGGCTGACGCAGGAGGTTGATTTTTGCCAAGAGTCTGTTACATGCCAAGTTCAGGCATCAGTGTCCTTTTCTATTATCAAAACATCAAGCCCAGATGTAACATCTAAAGGACAACTGAACTTTCAGGAGTCATTTCAGCCCACATGTTAAATACAATATTAATGGGGCATTATTTGATGAAGGACGTGTCCCTATTTAGCAGCCCAAGCTAGGTCTGGGTAAACTCTGGTAACCTTTGCAAGCCTCAATTTTCAACTCTGTACAATGAGGTTAATAATAGTACCAACTGCCCTGGCCGGTTTGGCTCAGTGGTTAGAGCGTTGGCCTGAGGTCTGGAGAGACCCGGGTTCAGTTTCCGCTAAGGGCATGTATCTCGGTTGCAATTTGTCCCCATCCCTGGCTGGGTCATGCAGGTGGCAACCACTTGATGTGTCCCTTTCACGTCGATGTTTCTCTCTCTCTCTCCCTCCACTCTATCTGAATAAAAAATGGAAAAATGTTCTCGGGTAAAGATAAAAAATAATAATAATAATAAAAATAATAGTACTAACCTATTAAGGTGGCTTTGGGATTAGTGTGGTGGTGAGTGTAGGTGCTCAGTACTTGGCTGGCTCTGGTATGTGTTCAGGCAATGTTGGCTATTACTATTGACCAAAGTGACATAGGGATTTGGGAATCACCTTTTCTCCTTTGTAGAGACAGGAGTCAGGTGGCTGTACCAGTAAGGGCGGTCCAGGAAAACCTTGCCGGCCAACTTCACCCTTAAAAAAAGAAAAATCAAGATAATATGAATGATGTAATTTTTAATATTTAATGCTTTTCATAAATAATGTATAATTATTAAAAATAAATTTTAAAAATAATAGTGTTCCATAATCCTATTATCTAGAGATAATCTCCATGAAAACTTTGGTATAGTTTTTTGTGGTGTGTGTGTGCATACCCATATACATATAAATGTGTATATGTGTAAACATACAGACATGTATATGTGGATCAAACACAACTTAAAATATATATAATCATAATAATACTATATAAAATATATAAATTTATTTTAAAATATATAATGTAGTTTATATTTTTAAATTATATTTAAATGTTTAAATAATTTTATAATTTTTTTATAATACTACTTTTTGTACATTTCCCTATTATACTAGAAATTCTTCAAAAACCTGATTTTTAGTACCTATACAATAATCTAGAATAAGAATATACTATCATTTATCAAGCCATTTCATTGTGGTTAGATTTAGGTTATTTCTCATTTCTTTTCAATAATATTTTTAAACTCTGTATAAAATAATTAGCCAAAAGTTTTGATTTATGTCATTATAGACTTTATTTTCTTGGAGAAAAAAATGCTTCTTGAATTGGGTTTGCCACAATACAACCATAAATTCTCACCCTGCATTAGAAGATAATTATTTTGCAGCTCTCCGAGTATTTCTATTATTCTACACCTAGAATGACCTGGCGTCGTAGTAAAGAACGAACAGGCAGTAGGGCAGGTCATCTGTCTGAAAAGCAGGCCCTTAGCTGACTCTGTCATTTGGAGCAAGTTCCTTAAAATCTTTCATCTATTTTCCTAAATTCCTCTACACCTCCCTTTCCTTCTCAATGATACAGGGATTATAATATTGCTTATTTCAAAGTATCATGCCCCACCCCCACCCCCGACTGGGGATTTGGCCCACAACCTGAGCATGTGCCCTGACCAGGAATCGAACCAGCGACTTCTTGGTGCATGGGTTGATGCTCAACCACTGAGCCACGTGGGCTGGGCTCAAAGTATTATTTTATGGAATAGATAATGCCCATAATAAAAGGCTTTATACTTACTACATTAAGTGGAACGAAGAGAATGCTCACATATATAATTATTTAAACAAATTATTTTTTGATAAGTGGGATTTGTGGAAGAAAAATACTGTTTCAAGTTTAAATGAAAAAACACAATCAGTAACTCAATCCCTACCTAAACTTGAGAAACTACAGAATCAGGAGGTTAGGGACCTTGGTTATTTTGTTGTCAATGATGTGCCCCAGTACCCAATACCGTGTTGGTGCAATAGCTTCTCTATAGATATCTGTCCCATGAATAAATGACTGAACAAATGCAGAGACGACAGGTGAGTAAATGGTAACGTGTGGTCCAGAAAACCAGGCTTATTCTTGCAGCTGGAATAAGGCTGAACAAAACCCATAAGGCTGACAAGCATGAAGTGTCTTCAAAATGTTGGTCATGTTGCTAATTTCCCATGTTGCTAATTTCCCATATATTCATTTCAGTCAAAAGTACAAAGAAGATCGATTCTGAAGAACAAACTTTAAATGATCCATCATTACACCTAAAAAATCTCAGTAACAACCATTTGGATTAGTGTTTCTTAAAATGGGGTAGGCAAATATGTTCTTGAACACCTGAGAGTTCCGCATAAACATGTCAAAATTATGTCTTTATTCACCTGAAAATCCAAAAGAATTAAGCCTATTTGGATCATTTGAATGGCCACCTCATCCAAATATTTGCACATTGTTTCATGGCCCGAGTTTGCCTCTGTGCTTGTGCTGAGGTCGCTAAACTGGCTATGCTCACCTCACTCTGGTGTTTCTCAAACTGGGGTGCATGGGCTTCTGGGACTTTGATAAACATTCCCAGGGGTTCATGACTTCCCAAGTTTGAAAACCTGTTTTAGTATATTTTCTTTCAGTCATTTCTTTAAGTTCATGGTTCTCAAGGAGGGGGCATCAATTGGCTATCCCCTGCCCCAGGAATATTTGGGAAGACTTTGTTGCATTTTTCGTTGTTACAATTGGGAGGAAGGGATGTTACTGGCACACCCAGGACAGTCCCTCCAACAATGAAACATCAATACCGCCAAGGGTAAGAAATCCTCCTCTAAGGGTATATTATAGAGTCTTTTTGTTATTGTATTTTCTACAAAGTTGAGCTGCTACTTTGTAGCCTATACTGTCTGTTCAACATTATATCATAGGCACCTCCCCACACCAGGAAGTCTTCCAATATATCTTTGGCAATGTGGCATTTTGTTACATGGCTGTACCATACCTACCCAACCAGGCCGGGGCTCCACGCACAAGGGGATCCCATCTGTCCTGCTAAATCCCCACACCCAGCACCAGTCTAGCCCTGCACAGAGTAGATGCCACAGTGCTTGAATTATTTGCCCCCAGTTGTTGAAAGAGCCATTCACCAACTGTTACACGTTCCGGTTTTTTCCAGGGGAGCTGCCGTTTTGAAACACTTGAGCTTGTCGTGCTAAGGTCCACGCTTCCGTGGACAGGGCTGTGGACACGAGAGAGGCGGGCCGTGGGGGCTCCGTGCTGCTAATGCTCGAGTTCCAGTGATTTATATTCTTATTTATGCATGCAATTTGAGATGTTGATGAAATTATAAAATTAAGACAAGCAAATGGGCAATTAAACAAAATCGCTACTCTGGATATATTATCAAGAACGTTTAGTCTCTTCTCACTAGGGTGAAGTGTGTCATATAAGTCAACTTGAATTTAGTGTTTAATTTTGTCAGAACTGTCATTTTATAGTCAAGGGTAATCATACCATAATAATTCAGCAAAGAAAAATCCTCAACTGGCCAGGCCGGTGTGGCTCGCTGGTTGAGTGTTGACTCATGTACCAAGAGGTCGCTGGTTCGATCCCCAGTCAGGGCCTGATCCCCAGTGGGCAGCGTGCGGGAGGCTGCCGATCGACATTCTCTCTCATCGATGTTTCTTTCTCTCTGTCTCCCTCTCCCTCTCTCTCTAAAATCAAAATAGAAAAAAAAAATTTTTTTTAAAGAAAAGAAAGATCCTCAGCTATAAAATCGGATGGTGATGAGATAATGAAGACACTTAGGTGGCCATCAGAACAGCCTCCACAGCCCAGGCAGCAGCTACATTTTAAGATCGGCTCCTCGGTGCAAAAAAAGGATTCTTACCGGGTCTCCCATTTGCCCCTTTACTCCCACGCCAGGACTACCCTAGGAAAGAAGGAAATTAATTAATCTAATTGCTTTTGAATATTAAAGAAATAATTACAAGCCAGACTTCCAGTTAAGCAATTTGTTGAAGATCATTTATTAAATACTTTGGGAAGTGTAGTAAGAGGAAAGACATCATCCTGACAAACGTCAGTAGTCATTTATCTCATTATCTATTTGTGTACCTTACTCACGGCTGCCTACCTTCATTCCTGGACTCCCAGGATGTCCCCGAGGTCCCTAAATCAACGGCAAAAACACATAAATCACACATGAGTCACAGAAACCAGAATGTGTCTTTGTTGGTTGTCCTGGGTTCCTCTTTAGGAAACCCTTAATTTTAAAACAGCCACGATGAGCCCTGGCCAGTTTGCTCAGTGGTTAGAGTGTTGGCCTGCAGACTGAAGAGTCTCAGGTTTGATTCTCAGTCAAGGGCACGTACCTGGATTGCAGGTTTGATCGCAGGCCCAGTCGGGGTCAGGCAGGAGGCAACCAATCAATGTCTCCCCACCCCCCCATCTAAAAATCACTGGAAAAATATCCTCTGGTGAGGCTTAAAGGAAGAAGAAGAAGAAGAAGAAGAAGAAGAAGAAGAAGAAGAAGAAGAAGAAGAAGAAGAAGAAGAAGAAGAGGAGGAGGAAGAAATAAAACAGCTGTGATGGGTTTTCTATCACGGTGGGGCTGCTTGTTAGCCCCGGGAGGGGCCGCGCTTCTAGGCAGACTCACACTGATAACAGTGGGCGTGAGCTGATTCATCACTGCTGCTCTCTCGGAGAAACCCCCTGTGCCAGACCCAAGCTGGACATTTTGCTTTTTCTGCTTTATTTACATGTCATGTCTGGGTTTTTAATGGCACAGCATGATCTGGGCTATACTTACCGGTAACCCCGACTCTCCTGGGTATCCCATTGGGCCTTCCGGTCCTCTAGCACCCCTTGATCCCTAAACATGAGAAAATCAATGCATTTGTTCCCGAACACTGTAATCACCATTTACAGCAAGAGCTGCACGTAATTCCAGGTGAATATAAACCTCCAAGAAATCTCAGTCCCGACATCCACCTGCTGGAGCAGCTGTCCTCACAGCAGCCCTGCCATGGCTGAGGGCACAGAGCCGCATGGCCCAGGGGCACGGAGCCACATGGCCCAGGGGCACGGAACCTCATGGCCCAGGGGCACGGAACCGCAAGGCCGAGGAGCAAGGAGCCGCATGGCCCAGGGACATGGAGCCACATGGCCCAGGGACATGGAACTGCATGGCCGAGGAGCAAGGAGCCGCATGGCTCAGGGGCACAGAGACGCATGGCCCAGGGGCACAGAGCCGCATGGGCGAGGGGCACAGAGCTGCATGGCTGAAGCCCTCCAGCAGGTGACAAACTCCTGTATTAGGATCAAATTAAACACCAGAGACCAATCTACTTACTTACAAATCCATCTTGTAATAGCAAAGGTAGAGAACACAGAAACTTGTTATTATTAGTTACTCCTACTAAATTCCAGATAGAACTCCTATATACAATAGGGTGTATTAAAAATATTACTATTAATTAGCATTGATATGAAAATATGAATGTATTTATACCCTCTACTATATTTTCAAGTGTGCCCTATCAGATCAGTGTGAATGGAGTTGTCCTCAGTTCAAGAACACGATGACTCAGCCATAAGCAATTGTCTGTAAGCTGTAGGTTGTGGTATAATTACACACAGATTCCCAAGGACAGGTTACAGCTGTGGAGAGAGGCTCTCTGTTCCCCCCGCTGACGCTGCCCAGGTCAAATGACTTGAGAGTGCTCTTTCCAGGAGGATGAATGAGTATTTATCTCATTTCATCTATTTGTTTATTTTTATTGTTGGAAGTATTGCAGATGTCCACCCTTTTTCCCCTTGACCCCTCCTTCCCGCTCCCAGGCGCCTCCTGCCTTCCCCAGCTTAGTGCATGTAGACTGGTTGTGCATATATGCATATAAGTCCTTTGGTTCATCTCTTCCCCCCTCCCGCCCCATCCCTCTGAGGTTTGTCAGTCTGTTCCCTGCTTCCATGACTCTGGATCTCTTTTGTTCATTATGTTCCACACATAAGTGAGACCAACTATTTATTTTAATAGTGACATCAAGGTATCTCATCGATTCCGTAGAACTGAGTTTCGGGCGCAGCAAGGAAACCAACCTGGGTAAGTTAACTCCTGTCTACAGCTGGAAGTCACCAAGCAGAATGACAGGGTAACGACTGGGAGGCAAAAATTGATTTGTGTTTTAATCTTGTAAACATTGATAAATGGGAAACTAATATAACCACTGAATGACATCCTTCAGGGAGATGGCAATGGGGCAAAATATTAAATATAATACACAATGACTGACTCAGCAGTTATTCCCACTCGGTACATATTAGTCTCCGGGCAGACGTCCCTTCCTAAATATGAAGTGATTGGATATTCCTTATCAATACCAAGTGGTCACAAGACAGAAGGGGAAGGTGATCACAGGCGCGCTCAGATTCTAGGACGGCCTCATGGGTGTGCCGCCTGTGCGGTCACACAGGTCTGGGGCTGGACTTCACGCTCTGCTGTCAGTCACCACCTTGACATGCTTCACAATTTTTGAACAAGGGACCTACATGTTCCTCTTGCCCTGGGTGGGCCTGCAAATCTGGCGGCTTACAGACCAGTGGGGACAGTAGGCTACTTGGGATCGGACAGAAGCACATCCTGCTCAGACTTACCGGTAAGCCGGGCGGTCCTGGGTCCCCTCTGTCACCCTGCAAGAACGACACTGGGCCTTAGAAGAGCACACCATTTCCTAGTACACACATGATGCAAAAGCAGATGCACACACAGAAATCATCTGGACGGATGTTCGGTCTGTTCAATTGTTCTGTGTTGAAACAGACAACCGTGGAGGGCTCCGTGGAGGTGATTTCAGGCCTCCGTTCTTAGCCCCAAATCCTGCTTCTCCTCAGCTGAGGAGGAAGGAGCTGGAGCCGGGAGCACGTGGAATCGAGATGAGATTTCCTCTTGCAATGTAAACTGTTCCAGACCCTCCATCCGCTGGCCCCTTTTCGGCCGTCTGCCAGGGTCGCTGGTCTGCTTGCCAGGCCCGCCTCCCTGCACGGTGCCCCGCCTCCCAGAGGGAACCCCATGGCCATTCTCTCCCAGGGCCCTGTGCATCCCCAGCTCCGGCTCTGCCCTGAGCTCCACCTACGCTAACGGACCCAAGGGCGGGCGCTCTCTTGAATGCAGGCTTTTTCTAGAATGTGAAATAGAACATGTCGTAAAATATACGTAGATAAAAGTTGACATTGTAACTACCTTTAAGTGGACAGTTCTGTGGCCTAAAGTATATTCACATTGTTGTGCAACCAGCACCTTCCCTCTGCAGAGCTTTTCTGTCTTCCCCGATGCAAACTGTACCCCTAAAATGCTGATGCCTCGTTCCCCTCCCCAGTCCCTGGCAAAAACCTTTCTATTTCCTGTCTCTCTGAATCGGAGGACTCTAGGAACCGCATGTAAACGGAATTGCACGTTATTTCACTCTGCATAATGACCTCAGGGTTCTCCACGTGTGACACGCCAGCATTCCCTCCTCTCTAGAGACCGAGCAATGCCTGTCCCACTGTATGTAGATGCCACTTTCTCATTGTCCGTTCATCTCTCGGTGGGCTCTCGGGTTGCTTGCAACTTTTTGCTATAGTGCTGTTATGAACATGGGTGTACAAATATCTGTTTTTTGGGTCCTTGCTTTCATTTCTTTTGGCTTATATCCCCGGAAGTGGAATTGCTGGATTATAGGTTCATGGTGCGTTTAATTGCTCGGGAATCGCCACAGCAGCTGCACCATAAGCATTCCCACCAGCAATGAGCATGGGTTCCAGCTGCTCTATGTAACTGCCAAGACCTATTTTCCATTTTTTAAAATAATTACCATCCAAATGTGTGGGAAGTGGATGTAGACTCTTGAGACCATTGTTAATCCTGTTTCTCCTTCAGATGGTGAGTTCTCTGTACCTATCCATCTCACCTGCTCTCTCTTGCACAGGTACACAGATACTCACCATGACTCATATTGTACAGCAAATGATAGTTTACAATATGCTGCAATACAAATTATTATAACAGATCGTCAGCGCTGAGAAGGAGATAGGGTAGATATTATTTTAATTTCACAAAGAAGGAAAACGAGGCTCACAGAGGGGTTACTTAAGTCACAGTACTAGGTAAGAGTCAGTTCACTCCTTCTAATACACCTGCTGGGTGCTGCAATGACCCTGCTTTTGATGCTAAGTGTATTAATATATCATTTAAGCTATAAACAAAAGCATATTGTTTGCTGTCTTACAAGTATAAATAGGCATGAAGGCCACAAACAAATACTGTGAGCTCATTAAAGGGATCACTCAAGTGTGCCCGCTCCAGGTAGCATGGAACTCAGGGTCCAGGAGATGCAACCTAGAACGAGTCTTACCTAATTGTTGTAGAATATTCTACTTCACAACAAATGACCACGTTTTGAAAATGTACTGTCATCTCTCCTCTTGATTTATTGTATCTAGTGATCTCCTTCTGCTTATTCATAGCTGCTCATATCAGAGAGATGAAGTGGTCATTTAAGAATTTATTTCTGAATATTTGTATATCATGCTCTGCTAGAAACACAAGGGCATTGAATTTACCAAGGATAGTGCTATATAAGGTTTCCACGATTTCCCAGTTTAATAGCGGTAGTGGTGCCTTCTATTATACTGGGATGCAAGTATCAATAGTATACTTTAACTACAAATAAATCAGTGCTTTCCAACTGGGAACACTTTTCTTCCCAGGGGACATTTGGCAATGTCTGGAGATACTGTTCCGGGGGTGGGGGTTGCTACTGGCATCTAATGGGTAGAGGCCAGAGTTACTGTTTCACATCCTGCAATTTGCAGGTCAGCCCTCATGCAAATAATTATCTGTTCCCAGATGTCAACAGTGCCCAGGTGAAGAAACCCTGACGTAGTGCATCCATTGCAACTCTGCAAAAACAGTGGGGAGGCATCAGAATGTTGCAGCCAGAGCAGCCAGAGCCAAGTGCCCTCACGCAGAGGGTGGCGCCCTCCGGAGGGGCAGGTGGTGACCACACCTCTGTGCTCAGGCACCTTTCAAAGGGAATCTCAGGCCATGTGTTTCCCACATGGGTTTACCTGTGTTGGAAAAAAAAAAACACCCCAAAACCTGTTTTATACCCACCATGATCAGAATGCTTACCTGCATACCTTTAATCGCACCTAAAATGAACACTGAATTTCCTTTTTCTCCATTTTCCCCAGGAAGGCCCTGCAAATAAAATATCCACTTAAGAGAGAGGAACAGTGTTTTGCTATTTCAGCCTTTTATTTTCTATGTGAAATATGACTCAGCAAAGTATAATTACTATTATAGTCATGTTTCACTAGTGAAGATTTCTTAATTCTCTTCATTCTCATTATCTCCCTAGGTCTCTCATACATAGTCATTCAATATTCACTTAAAATCTATAAAGAAATCTCCAAAGACAGAGTATCTACTAATGTATTTATATTATAAACATATGATCTATATCTGTGTAGGTTATATATAATATATACTAATATATTAATAGATACTTATTAATTATTTAGCAGGAAATTGCATTTTCCTTCACAACATTAGATACTTTTATTATTCTTATAAGTAAACAAATTTGCGGTTGTCAGTTAATAATATGCCATAGAAACAGTTGATTATTCAGGGTTCACTGCAGACCCACAAACCCCCACATAATTAAATTGATTTTATCCATTTCACTATTTGTATTTAAAATCGAGCCTATGCATCCTTTATAGAATCTGGAGCAAGAGGAAAACGGGATGACCATGATGGTGACGATAAGAAAAATCTTTTAGAAGGAATCTTGAGAAATGGTATTTAATTTGGGAAGTAGAAGGGCTGAAAAATAGTCACAGAGAGTCAGTTGTGCAAGGCCAAATCATCCCCAACCTTTCCGTGGGAAAAAGAAAAAGAAAGAGAAAGGGAATGTATAGGGTAGAGGAGAGGGTACTTCTTGCTAAAGTTATGTTTAAATAAAAATCTAAAAATTTGAAGAAAAAGTGTCTAAGAGAAGTAAGGTTTTCTTAAGTGCTAGATATTGTCATCTGTTTCTAGGCATCCATTCCAATCCCCTTCTATTTATCTTTTTAATTTTTTTAATTTTTTTTTTATTGATATTTGGAGAGAGAAGGAAGGGAGAGGGAGAGATAGAAACATCGATGCGAGAGAACATTGACTGGCTGCCTCCTGCATGCCCCCCACTGGGGATTTGGCCCACAACCTGGGCGTGTGCCTTGACCGGGAATTGAACCGGTGATCTCTTGGTGCACGGGTTGATGCTCAACCACTGAGCCACACCATCTGGGCCATTTATATGTTTTTATTGATTTTAGAAAGAGAGGAAGGGGAGGGAAAGAGAAACATTGATCTGGGCATATGCCCTTACTGGGAAGTCAAACAGATGACCTTTTGGTGCAGGGACAAGGCTCAACCAACAGCCAAACCAGCCAGGGCTCCTTCTATTTATCGTATTGCACATGGGGACTAGAAAGTGAGAAACGACATTTATTTCCCAGACCTCTTTGCAACTGGATGTAAACTAGGTTCCGCCTAGGAGAGGCACTCAGGAGATTTGGAAGGCAGAGTGGGGAAGACATCCTCTTTCTGGTTCTGTCAATGACGTCAAGCAGAAGGGCAGAAACTCACGTGTTTGCTGATGTCTCAACGTGGGGATGAGAGGCAGAGGTTATGGTGCAGGAGCAGCTTCCTGATTTCTGGATCTCAGCCAAGTGTAAACTTTTGAAATCAGTAGTTTCATGGTGGTCTCTGAGTTCCACTCCTTCAACCACTAAAATGGTGCCAAATTCCCTGTATTGAATCCCTTTCTGTTTGAAGTACCTAGGGGGGTTTGTGGGTTTGCAGTGAACCCTGAATAATCAACAACATAAGCTTTGCTAACTGGGCTCCCTGATCCCTATTACAGCAGCCAGGAGCATCTTAATAAAACATCAATCAGCCCGGCCCGTGTGGCTCAGTGGTTGAGCGTTGACCCATGCACCAAGAGGTCGCCAGTTTGATTCCCAGCCAGAGCATATGCCCAGGTTGTGGGCCTGATCCCCAGTGGGGGGCATGCAGAAGGCAGCCAATCGATGTTCTCTCTCATCAATATTTCTATCTCCCTCTCCCTCTCTTCCTTTCTCTCTAAAATCAATTTAAAAAAAAAATTGGAAAAAAAAACAAAACATCAATCAGGTTATATTGCTTCCTTCCTTAAAACTATCCAAAGCCTTTTTATGGCATGAAAAGAAAATCCAGCCTCCATCCACAGTCTACAAGACCCCAAGTATTCTAGGCACCCCCCCCGCCTTATCCCCCAGCCGCCCCACTTGTTCACATGCTCCCGCACACTTGCATGAACTGTGTTTCTTGACCACATCGAGCCTGTCCCCACTGTGAGACCCCTCACTTAAGATTCCCATTAGGATGCGCTGTGGGTGTCTTACTGGGGGGCCTTCCGGGCCAGGAGTTCCTCCTCCTCCTGGAAACCCAGGGTCACCTCTCGAGCCATTGTGGCCATCCATGCCAGGTTTGCCTCTGGGTCCAGGAGGCCCTGGGTGCCCCTGCAGGAAACAACATTGTAAGTGAAGCTTTTTTTTTTCTTTCAGAAATACCATCACACAAAGATTATGCAATATGGGTGCCCAAATGAAGGCGACTGGGACTCACAGGCTGCCTAATTGTGTGAAACGTCCTTCCCCATCCACAGTGCTATGTAGCATAGTAAAAATCAACAAGTACATCTTAATATACCCCCAATGTAAATTCATTCACTTTGGAGTATTCTGGGAGATTTGGGAGGGAACCTTCCCTTCCATCCTTAGGAGGACTCCCATGAATGGTAAAGCCCAAATTACCTCTTCCTTCTTCCATTTGGTTTTCATAATAGAAAGGAGAGCCTTAAACCCACTTCCAAAGTTAGGACTCTCCAGCCAGTAAGAGCTTTCACTGCGAGTGTGCGTGTATTTCCAGAACGGTGTACTGCACTAGTGTATCTAGCTCATTCTTTGGAAGTGTTTCTCTCCAACCTCTTTGAAAACCTTGCTATCTGAGTAAAGCGTTTGGGTCTTGGAGCTGTTCCACAAAACTGAAATGCAAGCACGCTTTCACTCCCTGAGCTGAGAAAAAAGAAGCGTTGGCCACATGTATGTATTTTTTTGAACATGTGACTTTAAAGGTTTTGAGGAGCGTATCTTCCTTCTTTAAAAAGTGGAGAAAATTTAGGGGTACTTACAGGTGTGCCGTCCAAACCTGAAAATCCAGGAACACCGGTGGGACCCTAAAATTCCAGACAGTACAACAAAGTTATAAAAGTGTGCTAAGTCACCAGACTAACAAGTTCATTTACTTGAAAACAATGAGTGCTCATGTTTTTTTAACCCTTAGCAGTCACGATTACCTATTTTTACATGAGCTTAAATGCCAACATTTAAGAATCAGACTTCCATACTTTTTTTTTTTTTTCTACTAAGGAAGCCAACATGGCAGCATCAATTAAAAGAAAACATCCAACACCCTGTAACTGGGAATTCAACTTCTCAGAATCTATCTGTCCTGGAGAATAAACTCTTAAATATGAGCACAGGTGATTCACAGACTTTTTTTCTCTATACAAAGTTGGGATAGGATCTCAAAGTCTCATCAAATGTTTTTTTAATCCATTCCACAGCCTATTATCCAGTGTTTTTAAAGGAATAAGTTCGATCTACATAAATTGGTGTGAAATGATCTTTAAGCCACATGGTTGAGTAAAAGAAAAAATAATAAAAAGAAGACATGCCTAGCAGGGTATATATAATATCATTAGGTGTTTTTTTAAAGACGTGAATCCGCACGACTTCACACTGAGCACAGTTGTGCATTTCAGTGCATTGCAAAGATCTAGACAAACATGCTTCTCTGGAAAGGGTTAGGGAGGGGGGCTGATTGCGGAAGAGGAGTTGACTTCATTTCATAAGGTGCATATATATGTTTTTTGAGATTATAAAAAAGCTGGCATAGTAGGCTGTGGATGGTTAATATGAATCTTTCCTGTAAGAAGAAGGTTACCTTATCTCCTTTATCACCCGCTGCTCCAGGAAGGCCACTGTCCCCTCTCATCCCCTTCTCTCCTGGAATCCCAATGGGTCCTGGAGGTCCCAGTGGTCCAATAGGACCCTGTGGCCCTGGTGGTCCTGGATGACCCTAAGGAAGATTAAAAAGGGAGGTGAGCTAATTCCTAAGTAGTGTCTTCTAACACAAATGTACGGCCACATGGGCTTACAAGAAGACTGAAAAATTAGACACTGAGCAAACCCTAAAACAGAAACACAAATGATCGAATCATCACAAAAATAAACAGGAACATTGCCTTTTGCAATCTGGATCTAAGCGGCAGGATACATTTGAATTGCTGCATATACACACACTTTTAATAAACTGGTCATAGTTCTCTTACTGTTTGCATTCTGTTGATGGCATTTACACATCTTGAGCTGTTTGGTGAAGCCACGAACTTGAGCAAAATCCAAGTCTTACCACCATTACGCTAGTGATCACGGTTAAGGCAGGGAGACCTCGAATGGCTGAGGACCCCCTGCCCCATCAGGGGGAAGGTTTGTTTTTTTTAGCTGCTTTTACTTAATTTCTGATAAGTGTGAAGTAGGCTCTCCATGTCACATTGTGTTTGCAACTCGACTTTCCATGAATGAAGAGGTCGCCTCAGCTCTCGGGGACCCACCGTGAGAACATCTCTGGCTGAAAGATGCGCACCTCCCTCTGCCCGTTCCGCACGTGTGAGGCGGACGCACGCACCCAGCTGAGGTCCGATCACCGCCTGTACAAGCAGCTGCCCGTCTCAAAGCTCTTCCGAGGGGTAAGACGGTCTGGTCTCAGAGAAGCACCTCCCTGGGCCACGGACCTGCTCTCCTCTGTCTCGGGCTCCCTTCCTCATCATCCTATTGACCAAGTATCCACAGAACTAATAAAAGCTTAGAATTTTCAAGGAAGTTTAAATGTGTAACTATGTGTTACCAAAAAAAAAAAAAAAAGGAAAAAAAGTACAAAATATAATTACATGGGCATCTAGGGGCATTTTGAGGGCAAATCAAGTGAGATAGTGTGAGAGTCTGAACCACAGTCTGAAAGGAAGAATAAATAAAGACTTCAGCTGACCTTTCCTACCCATGATAATTAATCTTACTTGGTTACTGAATTAACGTAAGTTACAAGTTCTCATTTTTTCCCTCAGTGTAAGGCTCAGGCAATAACTCTTTTTCATTAGGTCTGGGAATTCCCTTTTCGTCTTACACGTACTTTATACGAGAACACCGCAGGATCCTTCGTGAGTGCTGTATTATTTAGGAGCAACAAAACGCACGCTTGTTTCACAAGGGTAACTGAGAAAGAGGCAGGCGAGTAGCTGGCTGTCCACCTCTCCTGGGCTTCCTCTCGCCAGCCAAGGCCAACTCCAGGGCGCACGAACTCGGGGGGAGGGAGAGGGATGCTGAGCACAGTGTACGAATCTGTGCTCCGTCCAGTGCAGCGATGTGTCCTGTCCTGAGAACGTGCCACTTAAGCACTTCCACGGAGAAATAAATCGAGGAGTGGTGTTTGCACCATTCTTCGTCCCCATCTGCGCCCCTCCCCTGCCCCCGTCTGTCACACCGGCTTCCCTGCCCTCTCTGAACAAGCTCTGCTCCTTCACACTGTGGCGTCCTGTCCCAGAAGTGTCCCTCTTTCCCCCCAAGTCCTGTCTCGAGCCCCAGGGGAAGACTCCCGGACTCCTGCCAGAAGGGGAGGGTTCTCTAAGATGCCTCCTAATAGCACTTCTCACCTGTTCCTGTGCTCATCTCTCCATCCCCCCACCCCACACCCACTGGGCCAGGAGCTCCCGGGGGGCAGAAGGGGGTGCCCAAGGCCCTGATGGTGACGAAGGCAGAGGACAATAAATACTTAATAAACTGAGAGGTCAGACCCCACTCACCCACCTCACGGGAAGTCTGTGGAACAGGAAAGGGGGCATTTTCTCCTGTTCCTGAACTGCCATCCCCAGGGACTTGGCTGAGTGTCATCACGGGAAACTTCCCGGGTGGCTGCTCCACCCGGCGAGAGCGGACACGCGGCCTCCGAGCGCAGTGGCCGTGGACGCGGCGTTGGAACTTTGTTGTCGAACTAGAACAGGGGCCTCGTGTGGCTTCATGTCCACCAGATCAAACGGCCAGCACAGCTTCGCAATGGGAAAAACTACCACGAAACGCCGAATGCCTACATCTCAGCGTCCCTTGGAAGACTTCGTTGTTTGTCCTATATTTAGTGCTGTTTGTTCATACTACTATGTATTTCATTATAGGATAAACATTTTCAAGAAGTACACGAAACCTTGCACAACACTGTTCAATCTGTCAGCACGCCGCTCGTGAACATGTCCCGAAAGCCAGGCCTCGAAGTGGTCGTTGCTGCTTCACCCAATTTGAGTAAATAATTTATCCACGTCGGTGGAGACAACAATTCCATTTCATTAAATTATGTCATAGAAAAGAAGGGGTCAGCAAAACACATCTACGGTTCCCAGTCGATATTTGAGCTTCCTTAGTTAAGGGGCTGTCACAGAATTCCCTTCAGGAAAAACAGGCTTAGGGAGCAAGTCCATACCAGGCATTTCCATAATAATCATTAAATAACCACAGAAATGTTTTATCTTTCTAAAACCTTCTTTTTGAAGAAATAGTCTACTCCTCGCCATGCACCCTCCACAGTAAGGTGATAGGCACTGAATTGCACACGACATTCAGTCCAACACGAAGGAGACATGTCCAGAGCAGTGACTGGCTTGCACACGTGTCCTGATTTTTGTCTCCGTTTTTATTTTCTTTACTCCTTGTGCACAGAATGGCCTCTCTGGTTTAAGACTTCCCCTGAGAGACGGTGGAGTCGGAAAACAGGTTCGCTGCCTCCGGAAACAACAACTGGCTGGACAGCTGAGGAAAGGGACATGCCCAGTGAAGCCACCAGGTCATCTTTCCCTCTCCCCAAAGGCCAGGCTGACAGGGTCACCAGGCTGCACACGGGCCTCCCCGCTGTGCCCACAGCAGTGCTAGGCTCTGGGCCAGCTGCGCAAATGAAGGACAAAGGCCACCAGGGTGGACAGAGTTGCACGTCTGCCTGCCGCTGGGGCCAGAGCTGTTCCTGCAGGTTCTGCCTGTGCAGCCGGTGACGTGGCGTGTCCCTGGAACAGGGCTACGATCAAGGGATTTTTGTTTCACACTTGGTAGAAGGGACCAACTTCGATCGGACTTTTGGGCTGCCACCGAACCAGGACCAGGAGGCTCAGAGAGATGAAGTCAGTGACTTGAGGCCACCTGGCTATCACCTGGGCAAGCAGAGATTCAAATCCGTGTCCTCTGACTCCAGGGCTCCCACTCCCTTTCTGGTCCAGTCATTATCATGGCTCTCTCCTACCCTCTCAGGTCCACCCCGGAACCATGACACCTAAGTACACTCATCACCTCTTCGAGCTTGTTTTGCTACTTTAATTGCTGCTTGGGGTGATGTCGTATAGCTTCTTAAGGCCAGGGATCCATGTACGCTACTACCCGAACCTTGGTCGCTGCCTTCGCCCGTATAAATGCTATACAGACACTCCTGGAATACTGAATCTATGAAGATTTTTATCCCTAAAGTGAACAGGAAAGCATTTAGCGACACCCTTCCTGCTTAACGCCTGATTGTAATTCAAATATTCAGCCACTAGGTGACACTATCACATCACTTAAACCCTCATGAGGACTCACTGTGCAGCACAAATCCTTCAGCCGGTGCCTCCAGGGTCCTCCTCTATCACAGGGGAGACCCATGAGGATCAGGGGGCGTTAAACAATAACGAAAAGGTGTTACTCAGAGATCACCCAGTGGGAGGAGACTGAACAGTGGTGGCAGACTTCTTCTTGTCCCTGAAGTTCCCCTCACTTGTTTATGAGAGCGGACTGGTCCGTGTCGCCTGGACAGGGAGTGATGGGGATTTGTGGGGAGAACACGGCCTGGAACCAGAAGACACAACTTTGCTGCTAAGCAATAAGGTCACCACCCTTGGACCAAGTCACTGAAGAGTGGTTTTCCCGTTTTTAAAAATGGCACAATATCAACCAGGTCGCACACCAGCTGTGGGAAAGGAAGGAGGCCGTGTGCAGAGGTCGTGGTAATCTCCCTGAGCAGCAGGGACCCAGCTGACGTCCCTCCTTCCTCCTTGGCTGTCCTTCCCCGGTCCCTGCCCCCTGCTCTCTGCGCCCCCACCCCGTGTCTTCTGTGCTGTCCCCCCACCCCCATGGTGGGGTTCCCTCGCAGCTCCGCAGGGCTGCCCTGGCCTCTTCTCCCTTCTCACTGTCTCGTGCAGACTCATCCATTTCCAAGGTGTCGATCACATCCAACTCTGAATGACCACTCCATTCCCCTCTGAGCCCAGGCTCCTTTTTCCGAGTCCCGGTCACTTATCCAACTGACCTCGAGCTCCACAGATCCAAATCTGGGCGCTTGGATTTACAAAGTCCCCCCAAGGGTGCCCGTGAACCATATCCCGTGGGGCACACCGCTGCCCACACCTCGTCAGAGTCCTCCCAGGCACCTCGACCGCCCATCTCTGACGGCCCCACACGGAGCCACCCTCTCCTTGCCCCCGTTCTGCCTCCCAAATATTTCCGATGCCCACCCGCTCCTCCTGCCTCCATGCCCACCCCTTCCTGAGTTCCATGACCTCCCACCTGCTGCAGACTCCCAACAAGTTTTTCCTAACATCGCTGTCTCCGCCCCCCCCCCCCCAACGAACTCTGAACAGCAGCCAGAATGACCTTACGACATAAATTCAACCTGCCTCCACTCTTCCTAAAGAAATCTGCCACAGCCTTCCTTATCACCCAGGAAAACCGAGATCTGTGCTTCCAATGGCATCTCATGCCCCAGACAGTCCAGCCTGTCTCCCTCCCACGCCAGGGCCCGAGAGACGCCATGCCCATACGCGTGCAGGGTGCCGAATGATGGCCACGCAAAGGTATGTCCTCATCCCAATCCTGGGGACCTGTGGGTATTACCTGAGGAGCAAAGGATGCAATCAAGTGAAGGATCTTGAGATGAAGCGTTTACCCTGGATTATCCAGGTGGACCCTGAATGCCATCCTGGAGTCCTGATAAGACAGACACTGATGAATTTTGAC